TATATATATATATATAAACGGACAAACTACATCTGTAGATAGACGTTGCTTTGGAGACCAGCTGTTTTGCACCTGCTTGCCAGCAAACTATCCCATTGAATGTAGGTTGCGGCAGAATTTCCAGCGCTGTGCAAATTGCTTTTTTTGAACACCGATATGAAACTCTTCCCCTCCTCTACTTCTGCAATGTTGAAGTTCTTCACGAAGTCCAGGTTTAAGCGACCCTTGCTCTCAGTTCAGTGTTTTCAGCTCACTAACCGTGCATCGATCTGTATTGGTTCTAGCTGCTACGCCTTCGCTCACTGAGGATGACGATACTAAGGAAATGAGAACCACGCGTTTCAGGCGATGGCCCTACAGGTTCATTGATGTCAATCAGTTCTGTTTGTCTGCTGTGAGAGGGAGTGAGCGCCAGGGAGTGAGGGAGATATCTTTGACGCAAAACCGTCATCGGCTGCGTGGCACACCCATATTTCTCACCGTCACTAACCGATTTTTTTAATCCCACGGTGCTCATGTTCTAGAATTGGCATCAAACAAGACGCAGGAGAAAGAGAATCAAAAAACTTAAATAGTCTAACTCATTGGCGAAGCGGAGTTATACCTGATTAATGATGGGATAAACCCCTAAAGTACTTTTTGAATACAATTTGTTTTATTATATTTTTATACCCACTGGGCTTCTTGACTGAAGGAAATGCGCACATCCCATTATTCATTTGAACATATCATCAAATGTTTAGTTCCTGTTCCGTTTTTGCGAGTCAATAACATTCAAGGTACTTACTCCAGAAAGCCAATTGGAGCTTGGTAAACAATACTTCTATTTTCGGCATAAGTACATTACTTTTTGTCACTGTATCTGGGGTGACAAAATCCGATATCATTTTTTTCCAATTCAGAACCTTTTCTATTGTCATTTCAATCAATGAAACTATTATTAATGAGGCTCATTTCATTGTCATGTGGAAGGGAAGAGAAATAGACGTCGTTGATTGACACCACGTTACGATGGGCTATTCGGCCATGTAGTGTTTTAGTAAACACGAATGCCCAAACATTTTCTATAAGATACCAAGTCATTCAGTGTAAAATCGTTAAGCACTAATTCACTGGTGGAAGCGAGAACTCATAACCCAAACCATGTGAAGATTAGAAAGTTTGAGTCAGACAATCACTGAATTGCTGATACTTCAAGGTTTCACTCGTTATCGATGGTTTGATAACATGGAGATAAGCTAGAAGGCGAAGATTTGAGCCCACCGCAGGGTTTATCTTTTTTCTCAGACTTCATTTACTTGAGGTCTTCGTGAAAAAATCATTCATGAGAAAAACAAAAGAAATTATGGCATTCCATGGCATATGTATTTCACGACTATTTGCAATCTGAATTTAACCTACGCATCACTGCGTATCTAGACTTGGCATCCTAAATGAGACAGTCATCTGATTAACAAAGAATGCTCTTTGGAGATTTGCCACCAGAATTCTCAGTATATAACCGGAAGGTTAAACTAACCAAAGGACCTGTTCTCTTAAGAAACCACTATTGACTGAATGTCATTCCAGGAACCTCATTGCTTACTACACAAGCAATAACCAACAGATCCTCTCTCTACGAATAACCAGTGATAAGATAGCCTGGATTGATGGTGGAACGCATGTCGTCAAGTCGCGAAGTATGGTAACGATAACTTTGTAAGTCAACAGACCAATACGTAAGGCAGTTCCAAATACATCAAAGCCGAATTCTTCTAACCGAAATCACCAAAACATTCCTGGACGAAAAAATCATTAATTAAAGCATTTAATGTCATTGTCTACGGCATCTTTATACGTCCCTATTTAGTCGCCCGTCTCTCACTGAGTACTCAGGCAGGGTCGGGTGAGTAGAGAGAATGTTTTCCGATAATCCGGACCTCCTGCAAATGAGAACCATATGGTATGAGGAATGTGAGATTTGACACTGATCTCGGTGGTTCATGTGAAGATTACTACTAATATTTCCTCCATTTAGTCAATTTGCCATCTATTATGACTGTCATCGTTGTCCCTTTAGTCAGAGGCCTGTAGCAGTCTCTTGCATAAGGTGGCATGGCGATTGTTGCTTCTAGTTCGCACTTTTCGTGTCGAAAACAGTAACAGAGTTCTTCCCAAAAATAAATGTTATTGGTCTGGGAGTGAGTATTGGGAGCAATGTTTGAAGCCGTACTCACTCTCCGTTTGAGTCAATTTCCAAAATTTCGAACCAGACAAGAATGTCCTCCCGGCGCACCAGCACAGAGCTGAGACAGAGGAAGAAAGGGAATGAGAGATCTCAAATATCTGATGAGCGTGAGAAAGCAAAAATTCCGCACATCTTTTTTTACTTTGTGCAGGTTAATGTAGAGGGAGAAAACTAATCTATTATATGATGAAGCCGGTGGTTGAATTGTTCACTGAAACCGACAATTCTGCTGCAAAAGTATCCTTGCCGATTTATGGAGCATTATCAGTGTATATTGGTCAAGCGATGCATTGTTGTCCAATGATATGACGGTGTAGAATACGGCACAAAGCTACACATCCAAATGTTGGTGATGTGGAAACGCTTGCAATGATATTGCCAAGCTCAACGGACAAGTCGACCACGATACAAGCTGAAGAAAACTACAGTAAAATAAAGTTGAAGACTGGTCCATAGCAAGATAACATTTCGACTTAGCAATAATGCAAAACGAAATCCAAACATGTCATGAAATGAAGTGATTCCTGTACACAATCAGTATTTTTGATCAGTAAACGGAAAACGAGTGAATCCTTTTAACGGCAAGTTCGGAAAAACTGTGTCAAAGAAGAATAAATTAACCATAACTAAATGAGATATTAGCTGCCGCACACAGACCAGTGATGGAAGTTAACACGAGATCCATCAACTAAAAAAAGGTGCCCGTGAGAGGCTTACCCTACAGGGGGAGTGGCGGCATTCAATCTCGTCGATGGGACCGGTGCCGATCCGGGTATAAGCAAGGGAACCATCATCCGATAACGTCTGTAAGATAAAAAAAGCTACATTTTTATACTGATTTACATAGAAAGATATGATATATTATAAACCTGACCGCATTTTTCATATTCCCTATCGGAAATATGTTGCTGGTTCGTTTTCTGAGTGCATTGGATGTATCACGGCAATACAAACTAAACTCATTTTTCACTTTTTTATCACTTTAAACCTTATAGTTTCATACTATCACCCGAACATTCCATAATGTCTTTTTTACCTTTACCTCTCCGAATCTTCTAACGCTTCACAGAACAGATAGGAAATACAACAAACTGCGAAGATTCTTTGTAATTCAACATGACCTAGAAGATTTAGATGGAAAAGTATTATTTTCGAAAAAGTTTGGTGACAATCGGTGGATTTATTGCTGGGCAACTTTTCGCTTTTTAACACAATAGCTTCGTCAGGCCAAGTGAGTAGGTTCCGAGGTTGGTTGAGATTCGAGGTGGAAGGAGAACCAATCAGCTAAGCCAAGCTAAATCTATGTTGGGTGTCGGCCGAGGGATTTTAGTGTGTTAGAGTGGTTAAACAAGTGTTGGGTCGGTGGGGAAACCTACATGTGCTTGGGTCCAGCCTAAAGTCTAGTTCTTCTGGTTCGATTCATTTGATGGTTCCTCCTGAACTTCGTTTGAACCTTCTGTCAGTCTGTGTGGGTGTGCTAATGCAAAGATAGTTGTGTAAGAGGGATGCTGTGACCTTTGGCCGGTTGCGGTTTCCACCCCCACATTCCGGTTTTTTCTAATGATCTTAAGTGGATTGACAACCACACCGTCACGTGTCAACTCGGCTTATCTAAGTATTCTTTCTGATGCGCAAAGCAATAAGAACATGTGCATGAAGCCAGTCCATACTGAAAAGCTGCTGTTTCATCCTTATCGGGAAACAGCAGTGCGCATCTTATGAAATCGCAGGAACTCTGGAACCCGCGATCTCCCGCTAGTAGTTTAAAGCTGCTGTTTCATCCTTATCGGGAAACAGCAGTGCGCATCTTATGAAATCGCAGGAACTCTGGAACCCGCGATCTCCCGGCTAGTAGTTTGAACACTCAGCTGTCCAGCCACAAACGGCCAGTGTGATTCACACGCACTTGGCAGGATGCAGCGCCAGTCATCCTTACGTTATGGGAACATTACGTGATCTTGACTTCTCCGCGAGTGACGACGTCTCAAATAGAAGTTTTACTCATCTAGTGAAATTAATTCGTGCCCTGAGCTGTATTTTAAGTTGATGGTAGTGAGAGGAGACCTGGTACTTTTTGAATTGAGACATCGTTCTGCAACTGAAACTGAAAGGCCGATAAAAAAAATTTACAACTGTTTCGTATCTATTGGGAATCACGGGCAAAGGTCATCTCACGGAAATCGAGGGAGCTTCGATCGCGCAACCTACTGGGATGTAATTTGAACATCTAATCCAATATGGATGAAAACATTTTTAGCGCATCTTGGCTTTTCAGCATAAACTGGGTTCACTTAAAGGAAAATCACATCACGCTAACATCAATCCATTAGTAAGTCGGAGGAAAGAGACTTACGCAAGTCGAATGAAACTCCCATATGAGTAATAACTCGAAGAGCCGGCCACTCCTAAGCATGTGGTTGGATGGAGGATGAGTGGCTCTATATCGTGTCTAAGTGCGAGTAAATCAAACTGCTATTCAGACGCTCGTGGCCGAAGGGTTAAATGAATGGATTGAACGTGTTATTCACTTCGGTGAACGATGGTCCGTCAATCGTGGGTACTGCATCCAATAGGTTGGACCGCTCAAAGTTCAAAGTGGCATAAAATTCATCGGAATTCGCACGGTTCAAATGACAGTTAATTGTGCGTAATTAATGGTTTGTTTAACAAGATACGATAAGTGGAAACGTTTGAGTGATAGAATGAATCCGTCTTCCTTGCGCTCACCTGGGTAGAGTTGCCTCCAAATCCTCATAACCAACACCATAGTTTACCTCACTGGACGCATTCATGTGACCGTACAGTTCGAATGCCAGTGGATGATGCCGAACATAATCAAAAAAAGCCAGTGTTGTCTTTGTAGTAAACTGTAAATTAAAATCAAAATTACATGAGTTCAAAGTTTTGCATAGTTTTAAAAGGATTTGAACTCATTTGCAAAAGAATAAGTAAACGAGACGCTGATCAAGCACAAAATGATAGTTGAAATGCATCTGACATCTGACATTCAAGACAGCAACAAGCAAAATTTGCCCCTAATTCATCACATATTTTGCGCATTAGCTTTGGCTAAGATTCTATGAAAACATGAACCCTCGTCATAAAACAAAGTGAAGACCCTAGTCCGCCTTCTTAAGTACCGCAGCACTGACGATGCGCCACGCTTATCCCCACCCATACTGGTCCAGGTTTCGTGCTCAGTAGCGTCGCACAGTTACCAGGTAACTGTAGGTAAAAAAGCTAACGTACTTTGCAAAAGTACATTTGTTGACGCGCTGGGCGGACAGTGAGCGCTAAACGTCTCCAGCGTTAACTCAAGAATCCCGTTTCGTAGCCTATATGAGCAAGACTTTGAATTATTCGTTGTTGTTCTACCTAACCGTTATCTTAATAGTGAGAACTAAAATGAAACGGATGTAGGGTTGATAGTACTCAAATCACTAGGAAGAAAAAGAATGACTGTCAATTATACATGGTTGGTTAGTGCACTTCTCTGGATATATGTGGAACTTTGGGCGATTCATAAATAACACGCTGTCTTAGTCTTATTCAGCCTCATTCAGCTAGTGATATTGTTTGTGACCTTGCGACCAAAACTCTGTGGAGCTAATCAAGTATTCAAAGTAACCATCGATTTTAGGCTAATTTTCGTGGTCATGTGGCACAGTTCAACAAAGTGATACCCCATTCCAGTCAGCATTCAACTAAACGACTGGGGTATAGAGTAGGCTTTAGACGTCAGTCTAGATCACACATTTCTTTAAATCACGTTATTAGCTGAAGTGCCTGGGTATTAGCGCACTAATGGTCATTTCACACCGCCAAACGAAATCTGCCCTATACACGTGGCCCCTAGGTGTCTGAGAACGGGATATGGCATTGTGAGCTTATGTATGCACGCTTCAGGGCGTAGGGTGAAACCCTTCTGCAGTACGCCCCACTACGGTAACTTCAAATTATGACTCGTTTTTAGTTGGTCCCTCTAACTTCCCGTCCAGACTATTACGTGAAATCCAGCTTTTCCCCTGCAATCAACCAAGACAGATTTCCCCACTATATTATTGTTTTTCTAAAACCAAAGAATCTGAGTATTTTATTGAGGTGCATTTCAACATGGGACAAACAACAGCTAAAAACCCAACCCTCGAAAGTGGATCGATAGCTGTACTATACAAGGACAGACCGTACGATGGGTGAAAACCACACTAATGAAATGTGAGCTAAGCAATCATATACTTCCAGTTTGTCTTGCCTTTTGCGTGTGAAGCACCCCAACAGTTTCCGAATCCGGTGCGTTCTTCATGGGTTGCGTACATATTATATCTGCCGGTTTGTGCTGAAAACTGAATAACATAGTGCGGTTGAAATGACAGTTTAGACATTCGAAGTAATTGTTCTACCGAGAAACAAGCAGCAACTGGAAGTATCAACAAAAATCGGAATAGCGAAGCCTATCACTCATGATCGCTTTCTTGTTGGTCTGTTCGCCGAGTTCGGCAGTTGGATTGCCCCCGATATCCCACCTTCGTTTTGACATTTCTGACAACCTATTTCGGCCAAGCTGCTTGGAGCTGGAGCGTCTGAGAAGGTTAGCTTTCAGTCATCTACGGATCTTGGGTTGATTTACCATAGAATTCTGTTGATTGAGGTTCCTTACAATGAACTCTTATTCTTCGAATAAAATGAGGGGTTATTACCTTCATTATAATTTCATATTCAGATGGCAAACTTCAGGTCCTTTTTCACTGTGAAGTTGAAGCACCAATTTCCTTACAACCACAACTGATACTACTTCAGAATTGTGACAGCTGTACTACTTCTTCAACTTCATACCGTCCTAGGGGTTTCTTTCATTCAAGCCTCCTTCTTAATATCAAGTAATGAATCGCTTCTTTAGATTGACCTTTGTGTTCCTTCTTTCCCCTGTTGATGGATCGGATTTTGGAAATGCGTACTATCCCATTTTTTTCCGTTTTCCTGCAACTTCCAGTACTGTGAGGCTCGCATTCTTCTCGTATTTGTCATTCTATGCGATTTATTTTTATTTGCACACAGACCTTTGCCATGAAGCTGTCCTTGATTCTTGAAACTCCATCATCCTGTGCTTACATCCCTAGAGAACTGTAGCAATGGGTTCTCGAATATGATATTTTTGGTTGTTGAGGCTAGGTATATGACACTGGGTAGCGGTAGCTCTCAATAAACTTGCCTCCCTTAATGATTTCAAAAAAGCTCTTAAGGGTTTTGTTTGGTTGGAACCATTCGATAGAGGTCCATCAGATTTTCACTAAATCTGTTTTGCCCACAGACTACAACCAGTTCAACCAATTTATCCCCTGTAAATCGTATACCATAAGCACATTGGTTCCAGCTGCTGGAAGCTGGACAAACAACCAAACATTGAAGGCGATGGCATGTTCAGTTAATTCAGAAACTGATTTCCTACACATTTAAGGCGATAATTTTCATGCAAGCGTGTCAATGACTACACGATTGGGTCACTTTTGCCAGCGTCATTAACCATTGATGAGTTAAGTTGCGAGGTCCCCATCCAGGGAGGAGGCATTTGTCGACTCGACTGAGCTTACTGGTTAGTGTTTTCGTACTTCGTTACCAAGTCATACACTGTCCATCTGCCGATCGCTTTCGTTCAAAACGGGGCTGCGCGAAATGAGCTCTGCCCGGTAGATGGTCTTCTGGCATGAAGAGCACACGCCTTAACAGCGTAATGCTATGGAGCGTGAGCAATGTACCTGTCGCGGGAGATTGACCATTACTTTGATTGCAAACCTATCAAACTGATCACAAAAATGATTGTGAATGTAGTTTCTCTTCAGAGAAAGCATCTTATGAGGGCTCTTTTCAGGGTGCGCTAACAGCCTACCTGATTGACGGTTCATGATAGAACGACGCGTGTTACTCTGATCAATTGATTGTGAACTCCTGCATTTGCTTGGTAACTTCCAAGGGGGAATCGAGGCCATAATCATTTAACCAGTAGTTAGCCATAGAATCAGACATTTTTTGAATATTTTCACAAAATTCTAAGCTTTGTTGCATGAAAACGAAATCCAAAACTTCCCATGCTGTGGCCAGGCAGGGTGACAAACAAAACGAGCTCACAGCGTGAATGGGACTAATTTAACCGCACTGTTTGTGACGATCTTGGAACAATCCGCAAATTATCAAGCCATACAACATAGTTTATTGCGGCGTAACATCAACTCTTATTACAAATATGAGGTTAGGAACTTACTAGTACTGACAAAATATATCTGTGAAGTCCGGGCTGACTCCAGATATTTGTATGATTGTTATCGCAAACATATACTCCTCACCAACGCAAACTAGATCCGTATAATCGTTGTCCACTTCAAATAGGCTTTCTCGTAGAACTGACTCGCAGTAGTTTGAATCGTCACCTGTAGTAGGTAAAGATAACACAAGTCAATCATGAAAAAAAAACCTTATATTGGAAACCACCCCATGCATTTGGTCAAAGGGCTAGAATTACTGAGGCTTACTTGAATGCCTTTGTATATATCATCAGTCAAAATTAGTGAGGACGAGGTCTTCTGGGAGACCCTGTCGCACAACAGGGGAAATCCATGTGCCTTTTATGACTCTTTAATCTTCTATTAACCTGAACACAAAAACGCAAAACCTCAGACTTTTTTTCACGGATTTTAAATGAAAAATTTTGGATATGAAAATCAGTAGAGTTCTACGGATCTAATCTATCGGATTCGATAACTTGACAAGATCGTATCATTTCCGCAGACTGTCACCATTTATTTTCGTGCAAGTCAATGACGTGCTGCGCTTGACGTCGTTTGAGCTCAGGCTCATGCTATCCGTGCCAAACTACACCGAAATATATCAGGCTGTTAGGGCCTACACAAGGGCCGTTGATGCCGATCAAAACCCGTCATGAAGAGAAAAGTCCCAACCATGGTGTGTCGGTTTGTGTGCCTCCACGACTCATTGAGTTCTATTGGGGACTGTCCATGCGACACTCAAAGTCTCATACCATTCTGGCTAGCGGTTGGAGGTCTGACCGACAAAGTCTCCTGGTCCTAGAATTTGGGTTTTGAAACTTATTTGACGCCTCCGCATCTCCTGCAAAGCACTCTGGATCAGGCAGGGCAAAAGCTACTCTTGCCCTCACAATGAACCTGCTTGACAGTGACGTGCGCTGTGTATCTAAAACAAGGATTTAAATGGCAAATACTGAGCTCATGGATACCGAGCTCATTCTCCCATCACTCTCCACTTGCTTCCTGCTGTCCACCCCTGATGATCTAGAGGCCAGTGTGGTGGGGTGTGCAGGGGTCACTTGTCTGGCGAAAAAATCCTTGTTTGACTTAATAACCGTTTATATTAGCCTCTGTTCACTTTGTTTGGCAAAGTCCACGAAGGAGTCTAACAAGCGGGAGGTTGATCACTGTCCATTTGTCGCGTCCACTTACGTCCCAAACTACCGTAGCTCTGACAATATGGAATATAATTTTTATGACTTTCTGATTGCCCTCTTGCGGGAGTTAGAAGCTCAGATATCGCTGTGGTGACTAGAGATCTGAATTCACAATGGGAGAGGCTTAGCGCAGTTGAGATTCAATCAGGCAGTCGACATGGACTGGACTCGATTAGCACGAACAATGGTAAACGATTGCTTCAGATCTGTGCTGACCGCAGGCTGTTTTGTTTCCGATGGCACGGATCAATAATTACCTGCCGCTGGTTTCAAAACATGTGGACTCCGACTACGCGCTCCTCCGGAGTCGCTGTACCGGAGCCGCGTAGGGCGCGGGCAAATCATTTGGCAACTGGAAGACTTGCAGATCCACTGCGAGACACCTTTATCAAAGTCGACTTCTGGAGTCTCGGAATTGCTCCACCGACAGATGTGAATTCATGCTGAAACGAGATCGACACCATGTTGTACGGCTCTTGGACTTCTGCCAGTTAAAGGGCGATGAAAGTTTCACTCAAGCAATGGATATCAGGCAGAACAGTGACACTGACTGAATCTTGGAGAATCATCTCCACTGTCAGATGCCAGAACAAAATCATACAAACAAACAATCTTGTGCGCCTGGATTCCAAAGGTACACTCAACTCAGCTGATTGGTCCGTTCTCCTTAACATGCCTGTTCGGCAAGAAACACTGCGGAAGTTTGTGAAGATGATATGCTCTTTAAAAGCTCCAGCACACAAAGTGGTGTCTGCCAGGACTGTTTACTCTCTTTATCTCTATTTCATTTCGAGATCCACAAGAAATTGGGACGACCGCTTGATGGTCTTTAAAGTCCTGGTATTCAAATAGCCCCGGACGAAATCATTGTTGATCTGGAATATGCAGAAATAATTCTCACCTTCAAAAGGAAGAAGGCGTAGGTATTTTTGGACGAAACGACCAAAGTCAACCAGTCCTTCGGTATGTGCTTTGCACTTAAAAAGTGTAAGGTCACGCCCTTGGACAAGCAGTGACCGAGTGCGCTAATTATAATTCATCGAGTGGCACTCGAATTGTGGAACGTTTCATTATACTGAAAGTTGTATTAGTTCCGATTAGTGTGACAGATGAGGCCAGTGCATGAATCTGCGCGGACCGCGCCTGCTAATTTGAGGGGCATATCTCAAAGGACGTGTGCATCGGACCACGGTACGGGCTGTGGGACTTGATCTGTTTAGGTTGCGAAAATGAGATGCCTTCAGGACTTCGGCAACCATAGCTCTTGTGGGTTGGTCTTGGCGAGTCCATGTGTTGCGCATGCCGAACCGTCGTCTGGTGCAGAAACTGCTGTTCTCCGTGCTGAATTCAGAGTGGTGGAAGCAGAAATGTGTCAAACCGTTGACCTCACAAAGGGACATGAAATAGATTACGAAAAGTCTGGGTGCTGTCGGAGCTATTCGCATTCTAGGATCACGTGATTCCCACTGCGCCTGACTGGATACGGTGCAAGATAAATCCTACTTGGCGTCATTGACGTCCTCATTGTCAGTTTCTCTCCAGATTGCCCGAATTAGTGTCTAGAGGAATGAATGTGATAGGCCAGCAATAAGTTCCTTCTCCGTCTAACTTCATCCTTTTCTTTGCAGTAAGGCCTTGCATTATGTTTTGCTCCATTTCTTTGTATATGTATTCATTCCGCAAAAACAGTTTTCCAAGCCTTGTCCAGTAAAACCATTTTCATAATTTAAGTGATCCCAGAAAACCCTATAGGGTGGAGATTTGAATGAATCACAGGCATCGAGGTAGCTGAATGAAATAAGAAGGTGATGGCACATATTGTTAAGTTACAAACAGATTTTTCGTTAATTTTGTAAATTCCTAGTGCTTCCTGATTAGGACAACTAAAATGGGTAGATTCTATATCAATAAATTGACATAGAATCTACCCAAAACGATGAGTAACACTAAAAGGTCACATTCGTTCAAGCTCACGGCTATTTAAATAGATTTTGTAAGAAATTAAAACAGAATTTGTTAATGAACATCAGAATGAGGATGTGTACACTAAAGCGGACAGGTCAATTCTATGTGACTTTCAACTTTACCCTTTGGTGAGGGCAAATTTCACAAGTAGCTAGATGAGTTAAGTCCTATAAAATCGACAACGCTTTCCATTTTTCTGGTACAAAGTTTGGGTGAAAATTCTTTTGCAAACGTTTTAATGTTTGTTGACGTTTTTTGACCCCAACTGCCAACCACTTAGATAAAAAAAACTCCACGATCACAAACTGAAGTGGAAACCCGGGAATGCATGCACAAAAGAGCAGGCAGATCAAAGTCTGAACGAATAACCAAGCTCACTAGAACACACATTAAAACCGGAAGCAGGTGAACCAAAACTGAACAATGAGTGAAGAACCCCTTAATAAGACATCATAATAGTCAATCACCGCTCAAGAAGAGCAAACACATTAGGCAGAAAAACGCAACCAAGCGAGCAACCTCGAGAAAACCAGTCCCCAGCGCAACATAAACTGAGAAAGATACAAGCAAGTCAAAAAGGCCAAACTACTAAAATTGAAGACAATCAAGTGAAAGGGAGGCAGACCGACAAACCAAAACAGGACCGAAAATCTTAAACGCGCTAATTGAAAACAGGCAACAGCTAAGTACAATTCGAGACGAAATAATAGGACTTTGTGAAACATGTGTCCTAGTTAGCCAGTCACATCGGTGGATATCCTCTAGCCTTCAGGAATTATATAAACTCAAGCAAGTAAGGAGGAAGTGCCCAACTAACGATGACATCACTTCAATTGCAAGCTAAATGGTAAACTTGCCGAAGTGATCAACGACCACATGACCAACAATGGACGTTTGCACTGTTTCCGATAATTCGTCCCTGACTTCTCCTAAAGTGCACAGAACCGCACATTCTCCTACATGTTTTGACACCAAAATAGGTGCTTTTCATAAAAGCGTACACATTTTTCCAGAGGTCGGATTCACAAGCCCTGAGATCACTGTATCACCAACTTCACCCCAAGGTCCATTGCAAAAGTAACAGAATGACGCAAACCTTCACTATAGACTGGAATGAGTTAGTACTCAACACTGGAACTGCGAACTAGGAATCTATGGTTGTTTCCACAGAACACGCATCGCTAGTTCAATCAGACCCATCATTGAATTATCAGTCCATTACGAAATACCTCGTTTGTGATTTAGGCTACCCATTTGAGAGTACCCCACATGTTGTGCTGTATTTCCCTTGATCAAACCTAGGTTAATTATGAATTTGCCAAATTTGGAGAAACTCTTTGTCTCCCCCTCTCAAGTTTGGAGTCGCACGCACTCCTCCATATTGACGCATTACTACTGCAGAAATATACTTTCTGGTAATTACTTGAATGCCTAAAAATCACTCCGAATATTCATTGGTAATGAACCATTTTCGCCCCCTACCACGCTCCCTCATATTCGCGCATACTTTTCCCTTGAATGTTGAGCTACAGAATTTAACACACCCTTCAAGTTCCAGCCAGTTTGTTTCCAGCGCGAAACTGAGCATAACTCCACTGCCTCGAGTTCAGCGCTCATGCCTTTGAGAGACAATATGCACGTTCCTCAGTTAGAGAAGCATAGTCTCAGGCAAATCGATCAGCTCTTATCTTCCAGTGCACACAACCACTTTGTTACCACCGAAAGTATGCTTCTTGGTGGTTCACAGAGCTTAGATTGAGTTGATGCAACGGCTTTTTAGCTAGCTTCGTCTTCGTTGACCTAAATCAAATTGCTGAACTAAGTTTATTTTGGACATCTTTACAATCAGGTTCCAAATCCACTTAAATACACAGGACCACAGTTTTATGCAATTCAGTTTTTTCAAAAAGGAAAATGGCCTATTGGCTGCTTATGGTACCTAAAAACTGAGGGGATAAAACATCGTGTACGCACTTTACCTTGAAAAAAACGGATGACGCAACCGGCTGGGCGTAAAATAAAAGAGCGTGTCTTCTGCTCACTCTGCCGATAAATGCAAAACTTACTTAAAGTATTCTGTGGAAAGAACTGATTGCTCAACTGGTTTGTATAGCGATTGTCACCCTCAGGTTTTTCAGTGGCACCATGCGGACGAGGAGTTTCCATGACCAAATCATCTTGTAGGTCGCCTTCCTCATCCCGGAACGAGAGTTCCTCTGCAATTACTTCTTCTGTAGTGGGAAATTTCTGTCAGAGGAGATCGATAACATCAAGGTCTGCGGTAATTTAACACATGACATTCTTGCTTTGTGTGACAATTATTTGTTTACCAGTTTGGGCATTTGAAAATCGTCTCCCACAGCACTGTGCCTTACCTGGAAAAAGACCCTGATCATTTCGTTTCTAGAGAAAGATCCAATTCATTCAAAATCCTTTTTTCAAAGTAACGCTGCACAATTTAATTCCTGGACCAGGATCTGTCGATCGTTCGATGATTTCTCCAAAGTCTTACTTATGAGCTGACCAATGAGATTTGTGTCAAATGTATGTTTAGGTATACAACTGAGCAAGGAAAGGGACACATGACCGGCTAACCATTCATTCAAGTCGGAAAACAAACGGTAAAGTGTAGTAGAACAAACCTACCCAGGCAACGTAGCTGCTAACTTCAAATGAAACTTGAGTGATCGGAGGTTCCTGCAAGGCACCCGTTTTGTGGGACGCATTGTCACAATTGTTCTGGGACACTGGCTCAATCAGTACTTTCAAGAATCCGCAAACTCGACTGTGCTCATCCACAATGGCCACTTTTTGGATCAGCGACACACCGAAGATCAGGTGACTCAGGTAAATAAAGCATCTGGAACGTGTCATACAAACACAGGTGCTATATTGTCAATTCCAGAGGATTTTAAATCGATGTTAAATAGAATTATCCAACCTGTGCGACAAAAATAAGAGAAAACGTATGAGGAATGGCGATTCACTCAACCCAAAAGGATGTACTACTGTGTCGTTAGAGTCAGTGAAGTTTAGTCTGGATGGTGTCTGCGGTGTTGGTGTCGGAGCGGATTGTTCCGTTCGTTGGTAGTTCTCAAGTCCTTACAGACAGTTCACGATGAAACACTGACAGCGAGGACTCATTCGATTGCACATCATGTGTATTTTGGTGCTATACGTTGGGATGTCGAAAAACATCTCCGAAAAACACTAAGTCCACGAACGAATCAAATGGGTCACGTTCCCAATTCGGACCTCGAGACTTCACCTTCTTTACCAAAAGACCAACAGCTCAGAAAGAAGAATAACTCACATGTGGAGTAGAACTTCCATCGAAGAAAACTTCGCTCGAAGCGGGAGCCAACACACAATTCCTTGATGTGGATTCTGTGAATGGATGAGGCTGCATCCTGTCTAATATCAATCTAATCACTAAATCGGCCACTCGTGGACGAACGGTTAATTTTCCTACTGTCAGCAGGCTTAAACTCCATGTAGTTTCGCGAGGTACATGCTGCTGATTACCGTGACTTCGGAAAGCGGTCGGAAAGTGGCCTCAGCTCACTCCCACTTTATTAAGTATAATCACAGCACTGTACATTGCTTCTTGATTTTTCAACAAAGATTGGCTTCATTTACAGGATCATTTACAGGAAGCAAATAACTGATATTGTAGATCCCGTTGCTAATACTGAAGAGAGCAAAAGAAGCGTTTGGTCTACTTCAGGGTGGTTGTTACCCCGTCATTCTGGCATAAGTTTTGTGCAATCGACCACTGTAGTAGATGCTTCGGTGTGTCAGAGAGTTTGCGCGTGTGCGTGTCCGTTCGTCGTTCCACCATCGATCTGGCATGTGACTTGAGTGGCTGTTTGGATGGTTCGCTCGCGTGAGCGCTGTGGGTTGGCTGGATATGTGAATCAGTTGTTTGCCCACTTGGCATGAAAGCGGACCAGTTTGGCCGCGTGTACTCAATACACCCGTGTCCATACTTACGTGTTCTTCTAACTTACTGTGAACCACAATTACCACAGACTTGCCTCCAACAGACCACTGTGTGCACCCGATAAGTCAGTCAGCCATGTACGAATGATTATGGATATATGTCGACGTTTTATGTTCACAGTTCCCCGATTGCGAAAAGGTGGTCGCTTAACCTCTGCTTTACCAGTATTCCTCTTGCTCCACTGAGCTTTCTCATTGATTAACAGTGAAGCATGGACTGTTGTCAAGGCGCTGTGAAAACTGCAAACTGGTGGACTACCAAAACACTACCAAAGAAACCATATTACCAAACCGCTGACACTTGAATCCAACTTGATCTAATCGTTTCCAAGGCAACAAGGAAAACCTAAGACAACCAGTAAAGCAACTGGAACCTATGGACTCACCGCCCAACGAAACGAAACCATGAATCTCGAATTTGAAAAGGGTCACCTCCAGTTGCTTGTTCGGTTTCTTTGTGTTTAGCTGATTCCTTGGCTGTTTCTTTATTGTCTTGCTCATTTTGAAAGGTTGACACATCTGATTTTACTGATCTAGCGTCTTCATCCGCACTGGCAACGACAAAGTCGGTTTCACGTTCATAGTGCTGACGCATGAGTAACAGCCGTTTTCTAAAAGTAACGGAGAAATCCTTTACTTTTATTTTCAGTGGGACTTTAAAAACTCGACATGACAATGCCGACAGAATCAGTATGAATGGCAGCTACCCAATTACGAATTCTCCCTTTGGCTCGATACATTCTCAGTCTACCAAGGGACGCAACAGACTTCTTCCGGTCTTATCCGGCCATTGTCACTGTATGAGCTTCAGGAATATCCGGCAGACATTTGATAATCCCGGATTCACGGACAATTTTCCTGGAATGTTTTTCTTAGATTCTTGACTGCGACAAAGTATGGCATGTGGGGCTATGGCAATATTTGCGTTTTATGGGAGTGCAAACTTGACCTCAAACTGCTATCAATGGCGTAAGACAAAGGTACTGATATCACTGATATCACAGTTGGTTTCGATCAGTCTGCCAAACCTAGCAATTTAAAACTGAACAGACGAATATTAGCAACTTGCCTAAAGGTTTCCAGGCTCCAGCATTCAGACATGCCCGTGGAAACATCACGTAGCTGCACTGCAACGTGTGTTCTCTTCATCCTGGAGCGAGTAGGATTAAACTCTGTCGAATGAAACAAGGTCAGAATTCCATTTCGTAGATCGTTGCAAGCCCTTTGATCTGAGGTTGTGAGGCTAGTAAACATGGGCGCTCCGCATGGCTTCGGTGTCTTGTTGTCATCCGCGGACCAGGCCTCCATGGAGGCACTTTCTCCAGGCGACTGTGATGACTGTGACAGTCCCATTGGGAGAGGACTGTATGGTGTTTCTGTTACGAGGGTGAACTGAAATCGCATCTGCATTTGGGTTGAGGGAATCGGCAGCGGAAGCTTGTAATTAGGGCACAACATCAAAACCAAACCGCCGGGCGTGTGTGGTAATTAGTTGCATAAATAACCAAAACGTCCCACCCTGTTCTTCATTACACGTAGGAAGAAGGAAATGCGAGAGAACTAGCCAAAAACGAGGTTTTTCATTATTTGGTTGTCTTTTGGACATTCTATGATTTTTTTCTGGGACGAAACGTATTTTGCTGGTTTGCTTAAAGATGGAGCGATTGATTTCACATAATGGTATCATCAACCACCAGGATAGACTAGATAACTTGCTGCATTGAGTTAGCTGTCAACAGCGGTTGGACCACTAAACGCTTGCACCCAGTCGTGCTAACGCAAACGCTTTTTACGAGGACCCAAGTACGCTACCGTGAACCCGTTACTGTGATGCCAAAGACGGTTGTTATGGTTGAACACAGTGCAGCTGTAGTGGAGGCAAACTCCCATCTCTTAAGAACTAGGGTAAGCTGACTTCCAATTAGCCGTCGATGTTCGCAACTGATACAGCAGAGGAGCGCTGGTGTCATTCAACCCCGATTTTGGTCATTCAGATGCGTCCAGAAATGATGAAGCTTCATAAACCCAATGATGCTGGTATTCGTATGCTCATTAGGAGTCACAAATTGATCGCCAATGCTGGATTATCGAGGCCGGCCGAGCCTGAAAATGCATCAAAGCTAAATGTACGGCCATCCGTCATGTGTTTCTGCCTAGCATCATTTTTCCCGTTAATGTAATGCTTTCTAAACCCACCTCTCCGTCGCCGTTTAGGTATGTCCCGGTCTTTTAAACTATTTCACAACTACTCATATAGTGGCTATTTTTCAGCACGACCCAGTACAGTGCTTTCCAAAGGGCCTAATTACCCCATTCTATTGTGAAACAGCGTTTTCCTTCTGAAGAACCTAAGCATTCAGGATCCTGTCTGACGAATGCCGCAGGCATTGTCAGTAAAATCGACCAAGTATTCGGTTGTGGCACCGGTATACCGTCTGTCTTGCTGCCGTACAAAACTGTACACAGCACGGCAGTACGGTACACTGCAATTTCTGTATTCACTCGTAGATTCTAATTGTTCCAGACCGGTCCTTGAAGGTGCTAGCCCTCAATTCATAAAAATTCGACTCTTTATCGGTCAAATTAGTGGAAATATGAGCAACTCACCGTCCCACCACCATTCACCTCTGTGTTTGGAAACTTTTTGGTGAACCCTAGGGGCGGGATGATAAAACTCTACACCTTAGAAATATTTATATTTAAGCCAAACGGTACATGCACGAATGCGACCCATATACACTGCAAATCCACCTCAGAGTGCGTTATTGTAATTTTTAAACGCCTGAATTTCTATATGCTTACTGCACTTACATGCAAACTGACCAAACCTAGCGCCATAAGATGATCTTGTTTACACCCCACGTCAAAGTTAAAGTCCGCAGATGTAGTTTCAAAATATCAGATATTTCAGAGGAGTAGCACATTTGTTTGGAAGTCCTGTTTTCCCAAGAATGATCCACGATGCTGTCCGTTCACCGGATCAGAGGCCTGTGGGAAGTACAAATATAGCTAGTTTCGTTTGCCGCAATACTTTTGCAATTGTCTCACCATGAAGATTCTTTCCACGGTGCTCCATCTCCCATGGAATTGACACTGTTCATCTGGGATGGCTTCGTCCATAATTTCCCCTTTCATGAGATCCGCCGGATGACGAGTCGCGATTTTGCCGGGTTCATAGAGTGGGCTGGTTTCAAGGCAAATGTCTACCTGCCTGTTTCCTTTCCACTAGAATGAAGGATACTATGGTAGCATCTTTAGAGTAATGCGAAGGCTCCTCAGGTTCCTGTACTGGATAGAGTAAATTAGAACTCAACTACCAAACATGGACCGTTAGGCAGTTTTGCATCAGCGAAATTGCTGTTTATACTTCTTCCATCGCTAAATCGTCTATATGTTTCTGCCCTTTACGTTGAACATTGAAAATCGTTTACTTTCGCAAATGCGGCTGAGTGGTGAGAAGTGAGCCTTCACAGAGCTAATACGCGTTTGCTTTTTGTTTTTGACCGGTTCGGTTCTGCAGCTTGGCTGGAAGTATCGACTGCACTGGCGTATCACTATTTTCCTTATTCAATAGGACCCTGATGTTCCTGGTTCTAAGTTAAGTTGTACATTAGTGTTCCTCTTTCTTTTGAAGTTGGGTTTGTTTCTGAAGTTTAGGGCTGAATATCTGAGGGTGCCTGAAGTGATACACTTCTAGGTTCCGAGATCCTTGTCAGGTAAGCAGGACGGCATTTAGTTGAGTTTTTTAAGCGAACAACAATCCAATCTTGGCTGCTAAGGACTGCCCGGTCCGGAAACATGAAGGGTGAGATACAGACATCTCAGTCATAATGCAACTGCGCACGACAGATACGTACTAAGTAGCATGAGTCTCTTGGTTTCTAGACGTATTCTTACCATATCAGCTAATAAGCCAACGTTCATGGCAAACAGCCGGACGGTCAGAGCGTGAGGGTCTTAGAGGCTACCTTTTCTAATCCGTCCTCCCTTGGACGCTTCCAGAAACATCGATTTGTTGGTCGTCCCACACACCTGCTTCAGAAAATATTACGAATTATCCTGCATGTCGCTTCACAGTGTGATTACTTTCATTGGGGATTAATTGGTCGTTGTCTTTCTGCTGCTCCAATGAATGGGAACCAATCATTTGACGAAATTCTCTTGGTTCGTGGTCAGGCTCGCCTCGCAGCTAGAATTAGGTGATGGGTACTAGATTAGAAACTGCAGTCACACTAGCTTAGCTAGTGTGACTAGCTAGCTAAGCTAGGTAGCTTATTTTGTAGATGATCTCATGCACAACATGAGAACGGGGGATTACGATACCCCCAATGTAGTTAGACATGTCAACAGTAGAGTATAAACGACTTGTTGTGTATTAAGTCGTCATCATCATCATCATCAACACCAAAAGCAGTCACATCAGCGGTAACACTGATGCTTCACTGCCTTACAACCATACGGTTCACCTGTCAAGCATTCTGGGGTACCTAGACCTCCGATTCCTCAATCAGACAATCTGGAAAGAAATTGACAGCACGAACGCCACTGACGTCGATTAGCCACCATTTCTTGCAATGTCTTCAGAGAAGCACAGGCGGGGGCACGGCATACAACACTAACAACACTCAAACTCTTCGTAATTTCTCTCAGGCCCTTTTGTAAAGTCATACTTTGTTTACCTCGTGGTTTGCGCCATTCTGAAGGAGGCACGGAAAACAACATTCTTTTCGGTAGACGGTGTTTCGGCATGCGTAGCACATAGTCAAGCCATCGTAGTCGGTGGTGTTGGATGTTTTCTGCGATTAAAGTATCTGCCGCACAACCAAATACCCCTTTTCTAATCACCTTAGTACTAACACGTTGACGCTACCCGAAACCAGCAACGCTTCTGAAGTATCGGTGGTCAAAAACCTGAAGACGCCTCACATCACTTATCCATAGAGGCCACGTCTCGCACAACACAGCCCTCACTGCAACCTGGTACACACGACCCTTAAGATCTAGTGGTATAGCTTTTTTGTCGCCACAAGTGACGCAAATTAGCAAACGTGGTTCGAGCGTTTGAAACTCTTGAACTGAATTCATCGGACACATGTCCGTCAGAGCTAATACAACTACCGAGGTATGTGAGGTTTTCCACAATCTCCAGTGATTATCCTTGAAATGTAAGGGGTATGCTCGGAGACTGCACATTCAGAAGCATGGCTTTGGACTTTGGAGGTGCAAGGAGCATGCCGAAAGATGGTAGTATAGTGGTCAGCCTATTCAACAAGGTTTGTGCCCAGAAAAGATTTCTAACGATGAATGCGATGTCATCTGCGTACTTCAGTCGACAAGGCTCCCACCAGCAACAATTTTAACACCAGGGGTTTTGAAGACCATCCATTGTGCGCCTCATTATTTCATCAATGACGAATTCGAACAAGAATGGAGAGAGTGGACATCCTTGTCATACCCCACTTTTTGTAAGGGAGCTTTTAGAGAGCTCACCATACATTCTCACCCGCCCAGAAGCATGTGAGTATAGGGATCGGATTATGTTCACTAATTTCTGGGGCATATCCTGTTGAGAAAGTGTAGTTAATAGCACTGACCGACAGACAGAATTGAGCGCACCCTTGAAGCCAAGGAATACCCAGATTGTGGGTCATTTGTAAATGAAGCGCTGCTCTTACACCTGACGGAGTGTGAAAATGTGGCCACCGCAACCTCTATCCGGTCGAAATCCTGCTTGATTATCACGAGTCAGAGTTTCGCGTGGCAACGTAAGACGACGAAGAATCAGTAACACTAGAAGCCTCGCCACAACAGGAGTCAAACTAGCGTCTCTGTGGTTAGTACATTTACTGCGGATACCATTTTTGAAAATTGGCGTCAGATGCTGCTTCTCTCGCAATGACATGCGCCTAAAAGAGGCCCAATGTCTGGATAAGGTTGGCTGGGTTGTATCGCCAACAGAATTTTCGGCTTTGAATAGCGCCTTGGCTTTCTTTTCATAGTGGTCATTTATATCTGACATCAGAACATGCGGCAAGCGTTCGAGGACCAGGTCATGATAGTTTCGTTTGATTTCTTGGGCCATTAGCTCCTCAAAGGCTTAGCGAGTTGTGCGCGTTTTGCGTAGACCTGAAAAGCTCAACGAGAAGCAGCAACGTACAAATGCATGGTCGGAGTCCTCGCTGGTAATCCAGAATGAGCAGACGGCGGGGATTGACGTTTGCCACCGATAACTATTGGCGATGTAGTCTAGTTAGATTCGGGGCTGGTTTGTTGGTATGCACCACGTTGTCAAGCCATTTCCGCTGCTCCAGAAATTAGTGCTTCAAAGGAACTGTCTGTGATCAGCACATATCTGAAGAAAGCAATCGCTGCTTTCCGTGTGTCTCGTGTCCAATCCAAGACGACCACCCAATCGGGTCTCAGCAGCGCTTAGTCTACCTAACTGGGCGTTCTAATCACCAGCAAACACAAAGATATCTTAAGTTTTGGCCCCCTGTATCAGGGCACCTAGAGCGTCATAGAAACTGTCCTTGGCAGATTCAAAGCTACAGCCAGTTGGGGAGCAAGCAGACGGAATAAACAAGGTGCGACGAACCTCGCTTTCTCTAGATTCATTCGCAGATATTGCCAAATGAACCGGATATAGGCTACTATCAACAGGTATTCATTCAAGCAGAGACGCTTCCTTTCGGTCGCTCAACACAATATCCACCTTAGCATATCCAGGTGCAGCGACCTCTGCGTCACCAGATAGATAGCAACGGGGCAGTCGGTTCGATCGCAGTACTTGTGTCTTGTATTCTTGTTTCTGACAGACCACATAGATCAATGCAGAGGGAACCGGCATGTGAGCAAGAGCAACCTGCTGACCTACTTGTTTCAGTGTGCGAAGATTAAAGGCGGCTAAGTAGACAGGCTGTCGGGGTTTGAAATCAGACTTGGAAGCTGCGGGGAGAGCAAAACGGTCAATCCTAATGCTGTTACCTGTGGAGAAAGCATTTAAATTTGATTGGGGTAGGGTGAAAGACAGAAAACGTGAAGGGAGGCGTAAGCAGTAGCATGTTTCACTGTACGCAGCTAACAAGGTGATCCGGCTGATGGCACCACGTGACGACCGATGTGGTATGAAAGTATTGCCAGTTGTAAATTTCATGGTTGTACGTGGGCTGGGATACTGCCAGGGACCCCACACCTAGACAAGAGGACAATTAGGGTCCTCAACCAAAGCCTTTGGCTCAAAAACCTAACTGCAAGGCAGCAGTAGTGGGCTGGAAATATAGGTACATTACCATTTTTACGAAAAACATCGCCACATGTTCCAACCCCCGAACGGAAGGGCGAGGAGACTGCATTCATCAGACCTCTAACCGCTGACCAATTTGGTATGAAAGACTCTGTGAGTGCCGCGATGGTCGTGTGCGTCGCCCAGGTACACATGCTGCCACACCACGGTAAAGTCCAGTCTGTTTGTAACGAGTGCATAAAGTCAGTCCGGGAGAAAAGTTCACATTTTAAATGTCCAAAAAGCATCCAGAAAAATCCACTCTACTTTCCAGGTCACTTATGAATTAACCCAGGTTAACTAATGCAGTTGTTAACAAACCACTGATCTGACTGCATAGATTTTCAGCTGGAAACCTGTTATGCCTATGACGTGGACAGTTAAATTTGGCCTATGTAGAATACACCTCCGCTCCGCAATTAGTTTCTTTTCGATTCTCAGTTGAGTCCAGTTAGTCAATGCAGCCATGATCCTTTCGCTACCGCAGACAGACTCAGTTGCGGGCGCATCTCCACGCAGCCAAGGCCAGCAATTTTTTCGACCTCCATTGCGGTTGAATTCATGGATTCATTCACATCCTAATGTTCATGACGAAACCGGGATTTCCACTCACTGAGTGCAGAAGAGGTAAGGGAGATCTCACACTTTAAGAGACAACTTATTATACTCTGTATGTGTTTTCTTGTGGGGGCGACATTTCATTTGCACAAGAGAAGAAAATGTGACGGAACGTTCTGGGACCAAAGTAAGGGTAGTTGATATCGGTCAAAGTGGAAACCTAGTCTAGTTCCACAATCGAATTTTATTATTCTGTTGAAAGTCGTATTATTCATAAGTAGACTATCCATCGTTAGCCGCATTCTACCTTCCTGTGTGGAGTTCTAACATTATTGCTGCAAACCCTTGCTCCCAACTCATTCTGGTAAATAACTATCTGTGGAATAGAAAGAATCCGTCGCGTGAAGGGACCAGCTCCATGATACCCTTGGTTGAACTGTTATGGTGGAGAACCAACATCGTAGAGAATCTAATAAAGCACCGCACAATTTTCTCTGTTAAATTTACGAACCATCCTATCACTGTGCTTTCATAAGTTTTGGTGGACCAGTTATTTTTATTCCGTAGCCGTTGATCAGCAGCTTAGTTGGGTGGAGTAGAAATGCTAAATACAGATTTAGAAGTAATTTTTTCGACCGTGGCCTAAACGGTGTCTGGGAAATTTTCACGATGACGGTCACTGACGGATGATATAATGACAGGAGCATTAGGGATGCCCTGAGACGAAGAAGTGTCTCATAGCGTCTTTTGATGGTGATTGACTGTTCTTATTGGATGGAGCGCAAACACATCCGCATTATTTGGTAACGGATTGAAGCTCATACATGTCATGTTTCTATGCCAATACTGGATGAGCCAAACCACTATTCTTTATTAAGAACGACATGAATTTACGTGTATCTTCGTTGATACATACGGACCTGAACTCATCTTCTCCACTTTTGTGTTATTATCATCACCCCAATAAGTATATGGGATAGAAATCACCCTTGCTCACATACACGCCATGCATAGTGCAACCTATTATAGTCGGTCTAACCACGAGTACCAACCCAAAAATAGTGAATGGTAAATTTGTCAGTTATCGAAAGAGGAATTTTCCACATCTAAGATTCTGAACATAGCACAATCCTGGAGCCCCTACAATACTGGAGTTCCCTCTATTACTTGGTAGTAACACAAAAAACTGATAACATTACTTGTTTTTGTTTAATGACATTGAGTGATGAATCATTCAATTGATGAGGCATCCAATTACACACCAACTATCAAACAGACTCACCGTTTTCCCAAGTTCCACACTCAATGCATTAGCTTCCTTGAGATAAATGGCGTTCTCCCATAGTTGATCCTATCACGGATGGAGTAATATTTTAGATGAACATCAGTTTAGCAGTTGGTGTCACGACAGAACACCCATAAGGCAATCAGCAGTTACGCTTGGTTTAACAAAACAATTAAACGGACTGGCTGAATAGAAAGAGAGGAAACTAATCTCTTTCTTTGTTTCTTAGATCTCTAAGAAACAAAGCGGACCGTAACGTTGTTTGTTCGGTTTCTTATTTTCCCACACTTCTCAGATAGAATGTTTTGAGTTCACATCAAAACTGTTAAAAATTAATATTTGTGGCAAATGCTACAGGAATGCAGTGGGACAAAACGTCAACAAACCAGCTGTCGACTCTGGTGAGCAGGCTAATCAAGTGCGTCCATCCGAGATACGAGTGGACCACAACACCAGCGATGGCAGCCAAGAACGTAGTTATCATATGTTCGTAAAATACAGGCGTGACCATACTCCAACAGACTTGACGCTCTAAATTTTCGTTACTAACTTGCGTAAAAACTCAAGTGGCTGCCAATTACTCAGTGCACGTTATTTATTATGTTTTGCATATGTATTATTCACTAATGGTCAAGTGTGTTTGGCCCTCCTTCTCGGATTGACTACGGTGGCCTGACCCAATCATACATCGCAACTTGCTGAGTTGCTAACTTCTTGCTCCTATCAACAATGTTTGGCTCGGGTGTGTGCAGAGCGGTCCGAAACAGACGGCGGTCTCGGAGAGGGAAGCAACAGGTTTCGGTGGGGAATCATTCGATTACAAGAGNAACTTCTTGCTCCTATCAACAATGTTTGGCTCGGGTGTGTGCAGAGCGGTCCGAAACAGACGGCGGTCTCGGAGAGGGAAGCAACAGTTTTCGGTGGGGAATCATTCGCATTACAAGAGAAAGAGTGTCTACCCAAGGAACTACTTTCGGGAACAATGAGGTCAATTCGACCTGGCAGAACACTGTTCAGTATATTTGTTCCGAAATATAATAAAAGAGAATTATTGTTTTTGGTTACATAAAGTACATGCTAATGGTGCGAGGGCGATCACGACCGTAAAGAGTATCGCCCGCCAATCAAAACCATTGAGTCCTAATACGTTGGCAGAATTTGGCTTATCAGGTTTTATAGATGGCCATTATCCAGCTTGACCAGTACGTCTATGAAATTCAAAGGTAGTCGCTGGGATAAAACTACAGTCAGCGATGGTTGCCAATTAGTGATAATATTGTCTGCTTCAGGTCACCTAAACTTAAGTTAATCATGTGACAGTAACTCCATCTCACCACATAGGAAATAAGGAATAGGATGGTAGTAAAAGTCGGTTTCTATTCACACACGCTGAAGTCACCAACCAACGTTCTCGCTGACGCCAAAGATCCCATGCGAAGCTAACAACTGGGAGTTCACCCTCATTTTTACTATTGATTGCTATGGAGAGATTTGTACTGCAATGTAAATGTTGAAAACAACGCCAGTGAAAAACAAGAGACAAGCTTTTGGCTCCAATGCCGTGGGTGGTTATGCCAGGAAAAATCAGAAGCATCATGCAATCGGAAACAAGGAGCGAGCTTTTCATTAGTTGAACTTGGGAGATTCTGGTATCATAAAGGAATTAGACACCAAAAAAGCGCGTTTCGATATCTGATACTTGAAGGAATCCCCTTTCCGGGAAATCCCCAGAAATAAATTCATTTCTTCGGGGACAGTTTTGTCGACATGGAAGTTCTCCTCTTTGCAATCATCCCCTCAAGGAAACAAACACCAAGCAGAACAGTGGTTTACTCCTGAAATTCCCCTTTTGCGATTCATATATTCACTATCAAATCTGACATTTCATTACATTGACAGTTGCATGACCAAAATAAAGTCGGATTCAAGGCACCATTGCAGCAATATATGTAAAGGGTCTGCCGGAAGTTGCCGGTCTATTTTAATGCGTCCTCTCGAAAGTTAATTGAATTATTGTGTCCTCTCCACCGAGGCAGAAAACTTTCGAATCCGTGGATGCGACTACAAGTAACATAGTGCTCTCGTTCTAAAACTGGACACAGAAAAGCTGAATCTTGCTTCATTCCATTTTCTGTGGTACGGCAAGCACCATCACCACCCTTGGAACCCTGCAATGGAATGTGCCTCTTGATGAATAAAACATGTTTTCAGGTGATAATCCATTTTCAACTGTAGCTATTGTTTTTTGGGATCTAGTAAATTTGCATAAAATAATTTACATAAATCGGTAAAACGTCTTCTGTGTTAATATACACTAAAAGCAGATATTTTCAACGGGAACTAAGATAACTTCAACCAAGCTGTCCAAAGGGGACCACTGATGACATAGATATTTTTCAGCATTTTCTGTGAAAAAACTGCGTTTCCACTTTGAGTTGTCGGAACTCCGTAAGCAAGAAATGGGGGCAGGGGCAGAAATGAGGACAACCACAAGGAGCAGTATTGTGCTATAAATAGTCGACTTTCACTATGTATGTATGAATGCACATAAATTCTAAAAATCAGCAATAGTGTTGAGGATCCGGTGGAATTAGTTATTTTAATTTAGCAACCAAGTTATTTGGACGTAAATGATGTGGAGTTACCAGTTCTCACAGAACCTGAGGTGAGGTCGGTGCTACGGAAGCAGAATAAAACCATCGATCAAAAGTGATACGGATTCAGCAAATCGTCCTCCAACCAATCCACTGAGCTTTTACCGAGTAATTTCTGATCGTTTTCCGAGAACAGGTAATAAAGAAACTTCTATAAAATACACTAATTTGGGTACTAATACGGTTTTACCTGGAGACTCAACCGTTTATGGCTAAACTTCCAATTCATGATGTTTTTCATCAGGTGCACTAGGTTGTCTCATATTTTGAGCGAAATTATGAACAATGTTCAGCTATCCTACCTACTAGATCAGACCCAGAAACTAAGCAGCAGACTTATTAGCTATCACCTACTGATCGGCTGTCCGTCGCTGTGATGGTGGGACCTGCAGACAACTTGACCTACTGGGTCGATGGTGCTTTATGTTAACTACGGCGAAATTACAGTGCAAGAACTCAGTTCAACTCAAAAGACCGTCTAAGGAATTGGACGAAAGATACTGAAAGAGAGTAGATTAAAGCAGTCATACTAGTCCCACTAAAAGCTTTTATGGGTTCCAGAAAATAAGATTTTAGGAAAGCCCAAGATTGACTGGTGCTCTTATCGAAACTGAATGTTGTTCATACGTGACTGATGGAGTACGCTTCGTCATCTCTTTATGTGACACATGTCTGATTATCCCCCTTAGATATCTATTCGATCTGTATAGTGAAAAGCATACAAACTAAGCAGAATCTATCCCGCAACTACATTTATCTCCACGGATTGGGCAGTTAAGTTTGTCTCCTTCAGATGAATGCTTGGTTCTCTCCTGAAATGGAATTTTCCAGAAACGTGTCCCTGCTAGGGAAGGACAGCTTTTAATCTCCTAAATATTTACTGCGCTATTTGTACAAATACCTGGGAGGATGTCTTGAAAGTGCGTGAAGCATGAAAAATATCGGAAATAGGGAAATCTTCGTATACTGATGGTAACTATGATACTCCGGGAGTATAATTCCTTTATGGGTCTAGATGAATTGATAAAAACGAATGTTGACAGTGGTTTGTTAAGCCGTTTGTCACAGACTGTTTGTATCTGATTGTTTGTTACATGGTTACCAATACAGGAATCACTGATGTCACCTTAACTATTGATCCAGAGTTTACAAGAAAACATTGTAAGATAGTGAACTCAAACCTTATGGATTTAGGGTAGGTGCCAAGGACCGATTAAATCCTATGCTGCTTTTGGACTATGTCAACTTTGAGCCCCACTGATCAAACGCCAGGATAGTCTGTTGACCCACCAGTGTTTTTCAGAACAGCATAAATAACCGATTATCAACTATTGGATCGATTCATTTTGATTCGTCGTAAAAAAAATCTGGCACACAGGATCTGTAAACGATAATAAACAATGAAAATAACTTTCAGGAACCGTGATCCTAAATGAACTATTGAGTAGATGTTGGGCTAGCTGTAGCTATTCACAGCAATTTGTTGTGGTCAAAGGTTTCTACTTTATACTTCCCCGTCCTTTCGCATGCGTTTTGCTGCTCTGGCACTGTCCTAACCCGTGCATATCAGCGAACGGAAATCATACTTACCTCACAATGTGGGTTCTGACAGGTTGTCTACCTCATACGGTTAAAATACTTTGGATACCACTGTTTTTGTGATCTGAGCTGTGGTTAAGACACTTGTTGAGCCCTCTGACGGTTTCATTTTGCATTTAGCACCAACTGTGACCTACAACGCAACTGAAAGTTGGCACTATTTCGATCTCACGATCAGCCCATTTCATGTTCCCTTTGTTCTAGCAGAGGAGTAAACACTTACGCGTAACGATGTGAACTGATGGGCGCGCCACTTGCATAATGCCCAATGAGCAAGCTGCTGTTCCCTTTCGCTCCAGTTGCACTCACCTGCAAGCGGGAGTTTGTAATGAATTAGATAAATTAAACAAACCTTAATGAGATGTGAATGAAATAGAAAATTTAGCAAAAACCACCTGAGATATTCGACGCAGTAATTAGGGCATCTTATGAAGCATTTTGCGTGGGCTTTTCATATTAGGTGTGGAACAGTAAATATACTCCCGATACATTTATTATTCTATTAGTTCATTAAGACGACCAAAATCGACCACAGGAATGCAACTACACAATTTCCAACGGTAAAGATAAATGGCATGAGAATTTTGCTTCGACTACACGGAACGGTTGCTTCGGTTTTATGTAATTTAGTAATTATCACTGATGCCGATTCTAAGAACCGAAAAAGGGCTGTAGTTATTCTAAATTTAAAATCTTGGGTAATAAACGAAAAGTAGTGACTCTGGATGGCGAATTGGGTCATTTCAAAACAGCTTTCGAAATTGTTTGTGCTCTCAACATTACAAATTTGTTGAATAGCATTTCCCCAAAACGGAATATTCTAGCTTAATGTCCCTTGTTGACCAATGTGAGATTCAAGCAACCATCAAACATAGGAACCGACTTTTACTAAGGGCATTTCAGTCTGGTAACATATCGATCTGGCTCTGAATTCCATGGATCTTGATGAGGTATTTAATCTGAAACGCATCCTGGAATTCAATCAAGCCGTTGCGGAAAATCGCTGTTTTTTTTGTTTCAAGCTTGCTAGTTATTGGCATCGCTAGATAAGAACTGAATACAACCACATCCTGCAGCGACTAGTTGCTCAACAGCGAAATCAGATTTGATCCTCAATTTTATATTTAGATGCTACATCCAGGCCTGTGAAAAGTCTATCGTTGGCCTTCGAAAGGATATCTTCACCCGAACTCAGATTTTGCTTAAGGTGACTGCGGCTCAACCGCTTCATTTTATCCCCCTGGTTGGCTATTTATTGGCTACATGTCAATCACCGCAGTATAGGCCACAAATTTACTTCACTCACGGTTATCGCCTTCACTCGGCCAATCACGTGAACATTAGACGAACTATGTGGTTCAGTCGGTCCGATGAGGCACAAATTTGGCTGTGCAATTTAACACTGAATTGAAATGTTGTCATAGTCATCTGTTGTATCGTGGGTTCGCCTCACAGTCACACCTGAATCGTGCCTGTCAGGCTACGCAACAAGACGACCAGGAAAACTACCGTACTGTCAGGTCAAGGCATACAGACTCAGTGCAGACGGCTGACCGTCCAATTGTGGTCACATGAAGCGTCGGGTTTTGTCCATCCAATGGCGACGTTATTGCCGTGGTCACTTTCACACCCGCCCCGCTGTTCGCACACTGCTAAGCCGTGTTTGGTGAAGTGGGGTGGGAAGCGTGATGACCGATTGTGACCTTGTGGACATACCGCTCTCTGCACATGTACTTTTGGGTCTGGACACGTCCTGACAAGTTTACGACAGATCCTGCGGTTCACGTACAAATCGAGGACAAAGTGCTGCCTTGTTCAGCCTCATGTGTTGCCTACTCAACACTGCACTAGTCGCACACGTCGCATGAGGAACTGAATGTAGATAGGAACAATGTGACGTTGCGCCGCTGAATAGTGGTAGTGTTAGATCTGGATAAAGCGCTGCCTGTCTGCTATTTGTTGAGTAAAAATCAACAGATGCACCAAAAACGCTTTTTGAACCATCTGTCGTATATCTCGGGCTAATTCGAAGTTGTCACTTCCCAGCCTCGCGGGCAATGTCACCGTTAGGCTCAACCACCCTAGTCTCTGCAGTTGAAAGAAGTTTGTGCACAGCACTGCTTTTGAGAATGAAAGCTGGCCTTTCGTAAATTACATTTGATGTCCACAGATTCACATTGGTGGATCGTACCCTTGGGTTCAGTTATTATATCTTATCATGCAACTGGATTTTCTGTCCCACTGCGGTATTCTCAGACCAGAGTGAGGAAATCCAATAAACTTGAAATTTACACGCATATTCGTAATGTACTACTCATAAGGTTGCTGAAGATTCGTCGACAGCCCACACATTTGATACCCACTGCACCAAGTAGTCTGCAAATTTCCAAGGGAAATTTTGACACCCCCAGAGACTAGCACCCCATCAGAACTTGCACATTTTACCAGCTCAATCATATATGTTAGTGGAATGTCTAGGTTACCTAGTTAAGCACCCCGGAGGCTGCATCATGTAAACACTATAAACACGTAGTAGAGTATTTTAAGTCACCTGCATGGATCCAGATGCAAAGGAATCGTTTGGTGATAAAATTATCATCCAATGGTATGGAATTACATTATTTGCTTCGGCGAGCATAACGGTATTTAACGTTTAAAAAAACGGAAACCATTTACATCGTTTCTGATATTTATGGGGACTTGTACACAAAACGCATACTTCACAAGATTAACGAACTTTTAGGCGATACTCATACACAAACGTTCGAAATGCAGCGATAACCAGTCCAGGCAACAACAACAACAATCAGCTTCATTGTGATTGCTAGTCTCTGAGTGGTGCACAAGTGGGTCGTGAGTTACAAAACACGATGGTAGATTGTAAAGTTAGTGAATGGTGACGGACTCTAAACAACAGCATGGCGGGTACTCATCCAGTGATTTTGTAGGATCTCAACGATACAGTTGAACTGAGGCGCGGTACTGATAAAAGTCTCAGTGGTACGTATTTTGTTCTACTTCAGGTATCTAATTTGTGCATACCGCGTGGATTATGCACAAAATCTCATATGATCGATAGCAACCTGAAAGCGACATGTTGTTGAAATTCATTTTAAATATATTGGTATTCGGTTAACCTGTCCACTAAGTTCAATCAGACTTCTACTTTTGGTGAAATATTATTCGGTATCCTGGTCAACTTTGTGGTCCCGATGCACAAATGTCACCTGAGAATCCTATTAGTATAGCGACATCGCGTGCAATTATTTAATTCAGAAATTTTGAACTTCTAGTACTCGGTAAAATTTTCGCCTCGCATTCACTCCTTAACGCAACAACTGTATTACTTCCCCCGTATAAATCACCCGATTCCTCATTACCGGGTCCTGTGTCAGAAGTTCGCGGCTTCTAATTGAATGGCATCTTGCACTCAACAGTTTCCAACTGGCTCTTTGTGGGATCACTATACTATGCTCACTATCTGTTGAAATCTGGATGTTCAGAAAACCTGTATAAACGAGATAGTCCAAGCTAAGTTTATGAATAATAGTGCTCCAGAAAACTGAAAAAGTCGTAGACGAATAAACCACGAGCATTTACCAAAGTAAAATAAGCTAATCAATTATTAATTTAAAGCCAGTAATCCCGGTTACACATTCCCACCTCGATTCCCCACTTTTCCTAGCGATTTCACTCGGTACATATTTAGCAGGTGTGACAACACTTCATCAGCATGAACGTACGCCCACAATGCCTCAGTTCGGCTTTCCAACAGTGAGACGCTTATGACTTACATAATACTACTGCATCTGTTCACTGACTGAAAGATATGAATGTAAGTGGTAGCATTATAGTCTACGGATTTCTTCTTGGTGTGGGACGGGTTTATGCACGAAAATGCATTTGAACCTCTGTCCTCATTTAGAAGAGCGTGTGAAAAGACTGCCGTTTTCCTCTTTTTGGAGTATATCCCATTCACTGAGCAACATCGTCTTTAAACAGTTCCTATGCTGTATAGACGAGATGCGCTACTCGTAAGGTTGGTGAATACTCTTCGGCAGCCCATGACCGGTTTCTCCCTTCTTAGGTCCATTAGGTAGGCGCACTCTCCGATTTCCGACAACGTTATGCTTTACTTGAACCTAAATTGCACAAAACTAGCAAAGTGCATACCAATTTGGTTTTGACGGGAGACCCACCTGGAACCCAGAACCTCCAGCGCAGATGAATCTGTTGCACTAGTCCGCCTCACGTTTTACTTGGCACGATAACTTGCAGCATCGAATTGACGCAATACAATACCCGTAAGGTATTTGAAAACTCTTGCTTAAGAACATCAAAAATGACAGATTCAGCTAGGTTTCAGGTGAGTGTCATGTCAAAACCAAGTTGGTAATTCCCTATTTCCTATGCTGATTTACCTTCAGTTTCAGGTGCAACAACATGTGATTCTTCACGTTTTCACCTTACGAAAGTTTTACTCGGGCAAATTCACGTAACAGGATCTACTCGTAGCAACTGCATCACTCGCATTTGTGCACGCAATAAACGTACAGTATGGAATGGTACATTTTGGCGAGAAAACACTGTTGACTCAGTTTTGTCAGTGGGTGCAAACACCACCAGAATATGCCACATTTTATCTATAGTCATTCGAACTGTAGTTGTTCGCAGAAGATCTACTGATCACAACACATTAAGTTACAAACGTGGACGAGAAAACTACCCTATCTACTGTTGCGTTGTGGTTTATTACGTTTGGTTTTGATTGGCTTGAGTCAGTAGTATCGAGCTAACCACCTTTAATTTAAGCGTTACCGCGATCAAAGCTAATAAACTTCTTGTGATCAGCAATAAAATACAAACTGTTTACTGTTGTTTTATAGAGTAAGTGTGTAGCCTGACCGGTAACCCCTAATTAGTGTAACTATGGTGCGTTCGCCTTGTGATCAGAGCTCATCCAGACTAACACCGCAACTGTAATTATAGCAAATGATCACAAGGTTAACCGAGGTCTTTCAACTTACTGATAGGGCACGATAAAAATGAATATCTTGAAGTTAAAACTTGATATTGTGCAATAAGTACTCTTGCTTCGTGCGTTACGTTTGACTTAATTCTCTCATTAATTTACGTTAAAAAACTACTTATCAGCGGAATGGAAGCACCTAAGATGCAGGGAGATGATTAACGTGAGATACGAGATAAAGGCCACTTACTGGTGGTTTCATAATCCAGCAAAGAATCTTCCTGTGTTGCCGAGCTGAGCATTGATTGACGGTCCACCTGTTCTTGCAGCAATTGAATTCGATCCTCATAATCCTTCATATGGAAAGGACAGATTTATGGGAGTTACCCATGCTTAGCAGGGATGGTCAACTAGTGTCCAAATTTATAATTAATGTCTTTAGAAGTGACCCTTTTTCACCCTGTGCTACGGTTTTCTCTTTGACGTCAAACAACGAATGTACTCACGTCATGTTATTCCACTGTACGTAGGGTGAGTAAGTGATGGCAACTCCAAGGTTCGATACAATGAGGATGCCGAAGGTTGATAGTACGGTTGGGTCATCGTGACACAAAAGAGCTAAATGAAGTAAATTCAACATGCGTCAATCCGCCAGTTTTTTTTAACATTCGCTACACAATCATGCCAAGGTTAATTCTTTCCTTGTAAGAAACTATGGAAGGTTACGGGACGTAAATTAAGCAGAATATGAAGCAAAAATCGAATTGGTGCACCAAAATAGAAACGGGCTGCACCAAAGAACCCATCAGTACTACCAAGTTGTACAGCAAGGATGAGAGATGACCAAATTTCTGTAAGATATATCTCCAAACGCGGAGAAAACGCCATAACCGACAGACCGAAAACCAGATGGTAATGCCTACAGCTTCTCACATTTCGTCGAACCATTATCAGGTTTCTGAAATACGAGAAGAACAAGCCTAACGGATTTGGGTGAGAAAATACTGCTGCACCGTAATTGTTGCGGCCTAAGAAAAGCGATACTGAGGGGATCATTGAGGCGCCCGGAAACTTTGGTGAGGAAACAGAGCAATCACTCTTGACAGAAACCCATCCTAAGTAGTACCTTGTTCTAATCCCAACAGTTTCCCTTTTTAACAGCGGAAGAAAGAAGAGGAAGTCACCTTTTGCGAATGGTTTTGACCAACGACTGTTTTGGCCATTCGGGTAGTTTATAATGTCACCTGAATTCTCTTCAAGGCCACAGTGGTGGGGCTTGGAAATGGATGAAGTCGTCCTTTGGACCTCAGCAAAATGGTTTCAAGAAACCTCTAATCCTAATACCACGTAGCTTGCGTTGAAAAAAGCCTATCAGTTATGTTCCCCTGACGAATATGTTGCCACCAAAGCAGAAGAGCCGAACATACTATTCAGCGCCATGAGAGGGAACTTTGGACTAAGTGGTCCTCAATAATGGGAAGTTCGGTTAGATCCTAATTTCGAACCGACACTGTCGATGATGTTGAAGCGGCTGCGAAAAATTAGGTGGACAAGACTGTCTTTGAGTTAATCTGAAACGACAATTATCCCTACGATATCTCTCCATATCTTGTTTACTTTTAGGTACGGTGATGAGCAGTCAATTTTGAACCTATTGTTTACTTTTGACAGGTTTCTCCAGTAGCACTTTGTTGATTGAATATTTACTAATCCAAGATATTAACAAACAAAGTGAAGTGGATACTGAACAGAACGCATTGGTCACAGTTACTGAATTGCGAAGTAGGCCCTCAGTGGGTGGGTTGGTAGGTAGGCACTTGGTAGGTCTGCATACTCCCTTCGTCCTGCCACAAATGGGCGCATAAAAAATCAGGTTATCCCCTACATCTACAGTTATTTTTAATGAATCTGTTGAAATAAACAAGGCGGCCCTGGATTAAATTTAGCTCATCAGTTCCGAAGTTGCGATTAGGGTTGCAAAAATGAAACGGGTTCCACCGCTCCGGAAAAGAAATTATTCTGAAGGCCCAGATTCAGACCTGTTAAGTTGCCCTAGAAACTAGTTTTTTTAAGTACTCGTCTGATGTACTTTTCTGATACTCATAATCTGAAGGATTGTGTTGTATTCCGGTGGTGAGTGAGTATTCCCTGGGTGTCTTTAAGGTCGCGCGTGAACTAAGTTGTTATTCATTGGTGCTCGGCTGTGGTGTTCTGGTTCCAGTAGGAATTGACACTCGGTGGTGGAGCTGCTGGAGCAGGGTCGAGTAAACCGTTCTTATACAGCCGTTTAACTATGAGATATTCTAGCCCATAAGCTGCTGAGCGAGCTGTCAGCTTCGGTGTGGTTCAGAAGCACAAAAGAGAAATTACCCTGCACTGGTGCACGGGCAGGATCTAAGCAGGTCTTCTCAAAGGGGGGGTGGTCAGTAGCTGACGATGCTGTGTTAAATTCGGGTCCGTTGCCGGCACGCTCTTTGAGGACAAAGTGTGACTTGATGATTTTTGTAACTCCGGAAGTTATTTCTTCATGAAAGTAATCTGCAGTCAGCACACAGAGAAAGCAGTCGTTTTCCGCTGTCTGTACCAATTTGAGCCCTGCCCAGTTGAGTCTACCTTCATACGCATTCACCAAACCCAAAGCTTTCGCCTTGTGGCAGTGGTCGGATTTCAGTGCTACAGGTATCCAGTACGCTCTCACCACAATGACTACAGTGCCTGGGACTCAATACGCTTCTGTTAAACTGTTCCTGAAGGGTCAATAGAAAGCAGCTAAATGAAGAACCGCGTGCTCCCGCACTGCGGAAGATCGTACTTCGAGGTGGCTTGGAGATAGATTCATACTATCCTTCTGGATGGGATTGTGAATGAAGCGGGTTGTTTTTTGCAGGCAACCAGCATGTCAGTACTCATGGGATTTGGGATGCTACTTTTCCCGAAGACGGACAGGCTCGAAAACTTTGAACTAATAACCTCACACTATGATCGCACAACAGTTTATCACGACCACCAGCACGTCATCTAATACAATCGAAGCACCTTTAAAACTCGAAGTCTGTTGTTTCTCAAAAGGCAATTGCTATGTGCAGGCGAATTACGATTCAGACAGCAATATCTCACCTCCTGCGTCCTCAAGCCTGGCCAGGTCTGTGCAGCCCTGTTCTTCGAAAGTAAGTGATACTAGAGTAAAATCTCAACTGGTGCAGACGGTTGGTATCCCGCACATTTCAAAAAAGCTGGTGAATCTTGCGTGGGTATCTTGCAATCTTACTGAAAACCGAAATGAACACCAAATCCCGACACAATGAAGCTTCTCAAAACTCGTACCCATATTCGAAAAGGATCAAACCTTAATCTGGAAGTCCATCTCAGCAACTACACAAGTCCCAACAGACTGAAGAAAGATAAAGTAAGAAGGTCAAGACAACGTTTGCTAACCTCCGATAGTTGTGGCTTCGAAGTGACATCAGTTTGGCTGTCAACGCTGTGGTTCAGTCGGTCTTACTTTATAAATCGAAGGCGTAGCCGCAGCGTCGAGTCCTTGAAAGTGCCTCCAGAGCACTTAGTCTGGTGGAAACATTGGAAAATTACTGATGAGATAGGCCGAATCGTCCTCGAGAAATTTCACTCTTCCTCGATAGATGAACTCGTCACACTACGCTGGTAACGCCGATCAGGTCGTGTACTTCGGCACGTGGCTTGTGGCTGGAGAATTGAAATCAACTTGCATACTCCACCCCTCGAAATGTACATATACCTGAGCTTTTAGCCAGCCGTAACAGGACATTCAAAACATTTCAAGAGTCAGTTTAGGTATGGTCAAGGCTATAGCCGGTTGTAGTGAAAGCAGACGTTGTAAACCAACAAAAAATTCCCTCCCCTGGTTTGCGAGATTCCTTCACATGCATTTCTGAACGAACCACACTGAAGTGACTATTAACGAACATCAGCTTACCGTCACTTACCTGCCTTATTTTATGCAGTAATTAAGAGATCACGTGCCAGCCGGTGGATTACGAGATTACTCCTGGTTGTTCGAATCAGGATACCCAAATCTAGCGAAGAGACGATTAGGTCCCCATCGGAAGTTTTTTTTATTCAGAGGCATGACCACAAGGTATTGGTGTCTGGTGGAAACTGCTAGTACGTTGCATTTTTTAAAGAACAAGCCACCATAAATGCTCAAACCTCCAACAGGGAGGACCACGGTATTGTTCAACAGACGTGCGTAGGTTTCAAGAACATCCCACAATATAGCTGCATTGGTTACGGAGTCTCACAACTTCGCACACCATGTAATGATCCAGGCTCTTTATTTGGAAACCTCTCAGTTCAAAATAGGTACTTCAATCGAGTGAAAGAAACCAAAATAGCCCCGTAATTTCTGAACCGTCACAGACAATATGCGTGAAAATGGGCTATTCTAATGAAATTCCAAAGTCAGATATCATAGGTTCTTTGAATTACCCGCTTTACGAGGAAGCACAGAAGAGTAGGCAGCCCTTTTGTCAACTTAGGTTCCTCCAAGTTTCAGCCCACCAAAATAAATAATCAACTGAACATAACCAATTGCCTCTCATTAGTAAATAGGACTTCGAAAAACTTCAGGTACCAAACTTGTCCTACAGTTACAAGTTTTGTCACCATAAGCAAGCATTCCGTAGCGCCGCAGCAATTGCACCCTCACTCTAGTCAGTTTAGAACCGTAAGATCGAAATGACGCAATTTTCTTCAGAGAGGTGAGTCGATAACTCATGCACTACTGGGTGAAGAACAGCTTCTCTAGGGATCCTTAGCTTCCTCGACAAGAAGTGTAGGAGTAGGATCAAGGGTTTTGTGAAAGAAGGAATCAATACATTGAGCGGAATATATGCTTTGGTTTAAACACTAGAACTGTGTTGTACTCATCACCTTATCAGGTGTACTACTTACAAGACGGAAAATACCAGAATAGACCACAAATACTTAAGTTCGCTGATGCTTTCAGAACACAGCTAACTGTGTTACCTGGGATTCCCAATCCTTCTACCTCTGAGAAAAACTGATCATTTAAACAAACCACTGATTAACAGGGACGGAATGAGACGAGGAATTTCAGTGGTTCGATACAGCCTCAGTTTCTCTTGGGAAACGTTTCAAAGAGACAAATCAATCTATACTTTTACTGATCAGGTCATGTTAAACAGCCGCCCTGAAAGTACTCTTATGGCGTGCTTCACAGCAAACTCACCCGTCGCTGCTCCTCAAAACGTCTGTTAGACTCTTCCCGTTCTCGGCGGAACTGTTGCTCCATTTCAAGTAGACGATCTTCCATCTCTTTTCTCAGGTCCACACCTTGCTTGTCCAAAAGCTCGCAAATTGCATAGCTCCAGTCGATTGATTCTATCATGCTTGCTGTGCAACACAAGCAAAAATTATCATCCTGAACAACAACACTATGCTAGGGTGAAATTTTAATTCCTAGTGGCATGGGAAAACTGGTTGGACAACACCTGGAGTTGTATCCTAATTTAGTTCTGTTTTGGCTGGTCAGGGGAGAAAATCGACAGATTTTACTCCATTTTGTATCATCTTACTTGATCTCCATTCGTACGTGCCTCGCAGGACGAACTGATTTACTTATGAGATTTTCGAAGGTGATACATAAAAACAGATGCCGAACTGATTCATCTTTTATAATGTTCCAGAATCAGCTTCTGGGTTTGTTTGGATTTAAATTTAGGATATTTATTCTTCCTTTGTGGTAAATATGGCGGTCTAATCGGTTTTCCTCTACTACTCATTGTTGGTTCTATTCTGCTTAGTGCTCATTAGGTAGATGTGGTACTCATGGTTCGATCAACTAAAAGATTCAGGCGATAGTCGTTCGAGTTCTCGTTCACAGCTTTTCGACGTGCAAAGTAGTAATGAATAGAACGGCATAAGTTTGTTTGATAAGAAGCCGTTGGAGAATCCAAAGGTAGACAACATCACTCTCATAATCTCGTTTGCACTGTTCTCAATAATAATGGTTTTGGTCAATATAATTGCCATGTGCATGTTTGGAAGAACTGAATCTGGTACCTCATTTCTCCATGCTTCGGATTAACCTCACAGAGATGTTATACTACTTCAAATAGTGTGTCTTGAAGCTCAGCTTGGATTTCAATAAGCCACAGTCTCCACATTGTTTGTGAGTATAATTTAAGGGTTTTTCTGTTTAAGGGTAGGTTATTCCAGATTCGCTTGTAATATATTCTTACTAAAGAAGGTATTCATCAATGCTAATAAGTCCCGCTCTATATACTAAACTTTTTGTAATTTAGTTCAATGAACACATTTATAATTCCACAAAATCATCAACCGTTTTGTTTTACGGCGACCGTAAATTAACCCATGAGTGTATGATGGGTGACACGACTTGATTTGCATAAGGCAAAGCATCTGTGCTTTGATGCTGACATCGGTCAGTAGAAGCTTTTAGGCTTGTATTATATCCAATCAAAGCATACTGCTCCTCCTGCTGAAAGCTATTCTGATAATATCTTGATGAGGCTTAATGGGAAGACAACGACAACGATGACGTTCAGCACAACGATGACAAGGTCCACGGCCATGAAAACATAATTGATGTTGTTTTTGAGTCAGCTGAGGGGGCCAATATTTCAATCATTCAGTCAACGGTAGAAGTTCAAAACTAACTAGAGACGGGAAAGTTTATGTTCATTCTTGAGAAGGTATCATGAAACTCGTGGCGTGAAAAATTGTCAACCCTTTTCCGGGTGTTTCAAACAAGGACAGTGCTTTATTTCAGCAGCGAGCGATGTTTGTGGAAAGATTTTTATGTTTCGAATTCAACTAGATCTTACAAGCAGTGCATGCTAGGATTCTAGGGCACTCAGAAAAACGTGGTGTTCATTTTGGGAGTCGGTTAAATTGTGCCTTGGCCAAAAGCCTACAAGCCTCATGATCAATAATTTGACAGCCGGTTGAAAAGTAATTTTGCATCACATTCACTTTGTCTGGCTATGTGAGCTGGTAAGTAGATGGGCAGTAGTAGCTACAGCCTGAAAGAAGACAATATGAGTGTGATAGTCTAGAACTTTCATAACCATCTGGAATGTCTCAGATGAAAAGCCGCGGAAGGAAAGCCGTGTGCCGATGAGCGTTTCTCAATCTGAGTACACTCTTAGCACAATTCAGTGAAATGGTATTCAACGGGTCTCACGAATATCAGACTGAAGGTAATGAGGGCTACCTTCTTTGACGAAGGTGCGATGGAACGGTTAAATTGCTGGATAGTCTGGGAAATTCACCTGAATCGGAGATTATTTGCAACGAGTGTGTATCTTCTTCAAGAGAGAGTTTTAAAGAAAGCCTCTACGGATCTGTTAAATTCCCAACGCGTCTTGTGAAACCCACATTACTTTATGGTGTGTTGATTTCCACGTAGATGCCTCCGCTTGCATGTATGTGCAGTAAAAAGGTCGCAGAACCTCAAAGAGCGAGATCAATATGGTCAAACCGAATTAAATATCAGAATGCTTCGACATGCATCTGGATTCCTAATTCAGTTCAGCCAATTTGAGTTTCAGAGACAAGTGCAAATTAGGCATATGTACTTCCGGAAAATCAAGTGTGCGGGTGAAATTAATTCGAACTCAGATTTTTTGTTCAAACGGCTACCTTTAGTGAACACATGCCCCCTGTTTATTTGTCATGTGATGCTACCAAGTAAACTAACCACATTAAATTCATTGGCAAATACGCCTACTTATAGGGAAACCACACGATGTTACCATGAGTTAAATGAAGAAAGATAACGCTAGTTCTGCCAGCTGTTCCCCTCAAATAATTTGGAAGAGAGATTGTTCGAAGTGGGCTAAAATAAGAAGAATGCAATAAGCCAAAATCCAAGTATCATATACGACAGCACATTTAGTTGTGCTGTGATCTAAATGTGATCTCATTTCTTGAGCATGTTGGTATTCTGATGAGTTGCAGTCCAGTACATTGAAAGCATTTTCCAAACATCTCATTAGAATATATTATTTGGTACAAACATCTAATCCACTGTCACTCCGAAAAATATTTCTCCAAAAATATTTCTCTCTCTGGTGTGTCAGACGCAGCCTTCACGAATGTAAATTTTGCCGTCTCTTCTGAGCATGAGAACCTCAAGCTCTGTTGATCGCTGATCAAATACTATTGTAACGGTGATACTACTGATGTGGAGGCATTAGAGTAGTATGTTTTGTTCTTGGAAATTCGCTTTGCGTCTCTTGAAAAAGGGAGATTTGTTTCGGAATTTGTGGGGTCGATTTGTAGCAGTTGCTTGAATTTGAGCAATGAATAATTGGAGACAATGAATATTCAGGAAAGTTTAAGAAGACGCGTTCAGGAGATGGATGTCCAGTTTTTGTAAATCAGATGTAAATGAGAGTTTTGCTTCTCTGTCCAATGGTCTGTAAGGGGTCAGTTGGTATTTTCTAATAAATAACTCCGCGGCAAAGGCCTTCTTCCTTTCACTATATCATCCCTTATGGTTATTTTTTTTAAAATTTGTCACCTCCCATCTCGGGGACGGTGATTCAAACTCTGTAAAAAACTTTTCATTATGCTTGTGGAAAAGCAAAGCTAATTCTTGACCGACTACGCCTTACTTATCTGGCGACGAAATTCGTCCTGGCCAAAATGGAAAAAAATTTTTGGAGAAAATCACAAGTGAATTAATTATGTAAATTCCTTTTCAAAATGGAGTTTTGCATATGAACTTCTCCAAATGATCGTACTACTTTCCACTCGTTTCTTTAGTGTTTGATGGCACAGGAAGGCAGCATCACTACATCAGCAAGTGGCAAATTAGGAGGATCTCGTCACTATATTAATATAGGTATAATGGCTACTAAGTGAGGTTGAAGAGATTTCGGGGACCACGCCTACCTGATGAGATGTAAAGCAGGAGAAATCTACAGCGGTCTGCCCGACAGTTTCTATCATTGTTGTGAATGACACCATTCGAAGGAAAATACTTTAATAAGCCTCTTCAAACTACCAACAAACCATAATTAGCTCGCGGGAAGGATAATTCAAATGATAAGTGAACCCTCCAACTGAGAAGTCGTCACTCGAGGGGTCAATCAACACCTGGCTGCATGATGTGGGATCCGTGAATGATGTGTGGGTGGCGCTATATCTTGTCTAAGGGCCAGATAACTACAAGGATTACCAGCTAATCTTGGCTGAGCGTTCAAACTGCTAGACAGAAGGCCGTGATTCGAAACTCCTTTGCGTTTTGTCAGGTTCGCATTATTAATGATTCCCAATGAAGATAAAACAGCTGTAAAGTGCGCTTTAGCTGTTCAGCGTGGGTTTGCTCCGCATGTAGGATGGAATCCCAAGTAAAAATCCCAAAATCTTCTCAACTATGAAGAAATACTTCCATGTTTTGAATATCGTCCCAAAAACAATGAGTTATTTCGTATGTATAACATTCAGTTGAAGAATGCTAATACCGAGCAACCCAACAGAGTCTCTCCAGTTAGCATTTTCCCAGCTCACAAATGAGTGCCTATCTGTGCACGTCCAATCTTTTATCCAAGCACAGAATGAGATTGACGGTAGTTTGGAGCCTAGGCCATCCAGACGAGCCCTGGACAGAGAGAAAGCAGCTGGGCTGTCCAGTCTCTATCCATCCGTCAATCTTGGGAGTGGTGCCTAATGTAGGAGGACAGTTGTGACCACGTAGTCAAATCCGGTATCCATAAGGAACATATAAGCCTATTATACAAATATATACTATCAAGGACCAAACGGAGCAACTACTTATACCCGGTTGTCTTGACTAGACTTACCCGATAGGTCAGCCGAACTGGCCTTTTTATCACGTGCTAAAATGGAGACAATGGAACTATTATTAGTATTCTTATTATTAACATTATGTAGTAATATAAGAATAAAAATAACTTATTTGTGACTTCGAATGGCAGTTTATTCACATTTTGTGGCAGTAGTCAGCTCCGTACTGGGGGAACAACCTACCTAAGACGTCATTACACGGGTAGGCATGAGCCATACTAAAAATTTTGAGCTTCCAACATACACTAACAGTGCATTTCACTCACCAACGCTGACTGTCTCAATATCTGTCAAAAAGTACGTACCTTTCACTGGGTTATTGAATCGAAACACATGACTTTTGCCCAGGATGACACGAGCTCCACTGAAGAGTTCAATTCTTTCTTTCACCAAACTTCCGTTTACGTAGCACTCGGCATTCGCACAAGGTTCAAAATGGACAATTCCTGAATGGAAGACGGTATACTCACGATTATGATTTTATGTCTTTTTAATCGAATATCAGGAAAAGCCTTGGAATTTTCACCACCTGTGGTTCTACGCTGGTCGTGAGAGTTATAAACGTCAGTAGATTATAACATTATAACATTTCCTGCACTACAGAATTCCAACGGCTTGATTGCCTGCCTGCATATCTGCATTCCTTCCTTCCTTTCCTCGTTCCTTCTCTCCTATCTGAGGACAATTTCTCTAACACTACAGCCATCGGCCAGCACTATCTGTAGATAACCGTGGTTAATTCACGTTGGTGGAGTGCACAGTAACAAAATAGTCCCCAAGAACCAGCCAGGTTTTCCAGGTGCATGACAAAGTAACTGCCTAACCATATTTACTCCTAATATGTTATCACACAAATCCTTTGATACCGGTGTATTTGCACGTAATGTACGTCAGAATGTATGGTAGTGACGCTTCATTGCACTGATTGTACTGCCTCTGATGATGCTGACGCAGAAAAATACATAAAAATTTACGCTTCCAACGAATGCAGCGTGCCACTTCTATGACATACAAGTTTAAAGGTAATCATATACACTTGGGGACAATTCCTAGGATCAACTGAACAAACACCTCAATCTGACACATTCATTTATGGACATCCATAAAAACTGCGCCGGATCAGCATCCAAATAGTGTGCAAAAGGCTTGAGGAAAAAATGTAGAAAATCGGAAAAATAAATTTATCAGATTAAAAGATGCTTCCAAATATATCCAAAAAAGGAGCTTAGTATGAGTAAGTCTTGATCAGCCGTATGGATTGATAACCAAAGAATGCTTGGATCATCAGATGTAATGCATGAACTGTCACTCAAGACTATATAAATGTCAAACCCTCAGATCATTTTTATGCATTTGTGTGGCTTTTGTCTTATAATGGTTCAGACTCACTGTAAACCGTGAACTCCCCTACTTATTTCCTGATGTGTTCACTCAGTGATTTTGTTGGTCAGTCGGAACACACCCGAAATGTAAGACGTCCTCAGATCATTTTAATCACATCTTATGTTTACGGCAATGATCCGCGTAGGTGTGATTACCAAGGCGCTGCGAGCTGGGGATTATAACTACGGTTAAAAAATAATGGAATCACAGTTGTAGTTTAAGTTGAATTAGTTAACACTGACTTATAATATGCCCAGACCATACCTTTCAAACTCTGTAGATTGAGCATGTAATTAGGGTTTTTAAATCTAAGTTAAACACCACACAGTCGTAAGAGTGCTGCCATGGCGTTATGGAACCTGTCGATACACAGCGTCAGCCAATTCGCAAGTCTGCTTTAGGATCGGTATATACTCTGTGATATGCTAAAATTGCCACATTTTCACTTTCAGTACATTTGACAATGTGGATTCCGAAATATATCCGTGGTATTTCCGCTTCAATCAGGGCTGCCGTTTTGCTCAAGATCGTTCTGTGTGAATTCTGGTCAACACTGCTGTCAACTTTGTTCATTTACTGAATTCCTAACCTGCAATCATTAGAGGCATGTCGATAATCACTGTAAGTTTGGGCTCGATGTGATAAATTTTCTATTGATTTATCAACTATACTATTGTATTTATCAACCCGGCAGCTTTCTAACCAGCTTCTAGCAGTAGAAAACGAACTCTCTTGCAGATTCATTTCTGTGGTCATGGAATCTATGTTGTACACAAGCGGCATTAGTTTGTGTGATTTGCCGGAAGCATTCACTCCTCGACCAGCAGACCAAACATTTGAGGCAAAATTTAAGACATGGGATGCATTTAAACCTCGGTCAATGGAACATTTCAGCAAGCTGAACGAAACCATCTCATTATTCCATTTTTTTTCGTGTCCTAATTACTGACACCGCACATGATCTCACTAGCTTTATTAACCACATGCCCACCACTAAGAACAGACATACTGTGAACCGTAGATCCACAAGAAATTCATCAGAATAATCTTGAAACATTTTCCAAGACATCTTGGTGATCAAATAAACAAAATATCTTCTCCCGAAGAGGAGGTTTTCTAAGAATGTGTAGAATATACAGCGCACAGTTTGCCCCAACTTTCTTTGCAGCCGTGGTTTGTGCTCAGAAATACGACGTCTATCCGTAGGATACCTTAACAGATTTTGATAACTTCTCAGTATTCAGTTTATTCCAGTCGGATAATTCCTTCGATGCGCGGCATTTCCTAACCACAAAATTTGGCTGCGTTTCTTCTGTTGTAGCCTGGTGTCCAAGCGGTTGCCTGTAAACTATCCATGGTTCAGAAGAAGTGCGGGTTAATAACTGCGAGGCGGTTCTCACAGGGATATGTCAACTCTAATTTCGTCTGACAGCGTTATTCGTCCTCCGTTTTCTTATCACTCACCTGTATGGTGAATCACCCAGAGCGTTTTCGGACGAGCAGTGAACGTTAAGCACCAAACTACCGTCTGTCTGGCTATTCCCTTCAATGTTTTCTCAATAAATAACAGATTCTACTTAGAAGTCTTTTAAGATGTGAATAACACTTCAAATACGAACAATATCTACCCCGAGGTGTGAGTGAACAACAAATAAATAAGACCTTGGCAAGGAGTATGTACGCACATGACAACAGGTTTAAAGCCACATTGGTTGTGCCATCTCAAGACTCACCTTTATCATTGAAGAAAATGCAATGTTCCTTCAAAATAAATTCTCCGCTCAAACCAATTTCTACAACGGATTCGGTGTGTAACTGGCCTACTCTGAAAGAGAGAAACCATTTAGGTAAGTCAGATGAAGCCTCTTTCAGTTAAAAAAGATATAACACATTCTAAACGAGTTCTATGCAACAAAGAGGCTACGTAACTCGTTTTGGGGTGCGGTCTTGTAATTTTGCTCCATTACATTACTGTTGTTATTTACCGATAGATGAACACTGTAAATCTGACATTGGTGGAAACAAGATTGAATGAAAAAAACTAAGCATTTTTGTGTCTGCGTATGAAAATTCTAATGGGTTCATTGGAAAATCCAAACCACGAACCACGTTTCAACAAAGCCTAGAACTCAGTATGTTGGAGACTGTATCATCTGTCTCGACTACAACGACGAAAAACTCTCAAAAATAGCATCTTTCTCACTTGACTTCGACCGCGAAAAAGGCTGTCACCAAAATTTTGGACCAGGAGATTCCGGCTCACGGTAAAATGCAACCATTTCAGAAAACGGTCTAGGTATTCAGGCAAGTCGTGAACGTCAAATAAGCACAAAGGCGCGATTACAAAAAAGTTTAGGATGTGTATTTTGGGCACGTATGTAACAAAATGCAACATTTCGGCGTAGAGAGTTTTACCCATTTGTAACAACCATTTCAGAAAACGGTCTAGGTATTCAGGCAAGTCGTGAACGTCAAATAAGCACAAAGGCGCGATTACAAAAAAGTTTAGGATGTGTATTTTGGGCACGTATGTAACAAAATGCAACATTTCGGCGTAGAGAGTTTTACTCCATTTGTAAAGGTTTTGCAGCTGGGAAACTTGTGCGGATAATGAACACCTGCAAATAATTCACCGGTGGCGTTGCCTCCCTTCAGTGGCATAAAAAGAGCTAAGGTTCGATATTATCGGATGAAATGGATGCATCCAAATGTCGGTGCCTTGTTCAAAACGACAGGTTTCATAGTTTCGCGGTACGGCGCTCCCTAAGAAGCTTCACTGTGCTTGGTGCTTACTATGAACTGGTCGTTAACAAAATTAGACTTAGTCTTTTCTGGTTAAAAAATGCCACAAAGACACTACAACTCAGCTACAGCATTCGGCTTTTAACGGGGTTGCTTTTACCCTCGAAGGTGAGCTGTGATACCCAAAGGGGGTTTATCTGTTCAATATGTAAACAAGAAAACACAGTTTTCTGGTAAGGTGAATCGTCAGGGAACTGTCACGCCTGTTTTTGGGAAATGGCTCTTCTGAAGAACTACGCCTTCTGAAAATAACTGGTTGTAGATATGAATATCTTACACCCAACGGCATTCACATCTCAGATGCGCAGATCTCATGCAGATCTCATGTGACACGCTGCCAAGACTAGAGCATTGGTTTGGAATGGGATTTGGGAATTTTAGTGAAAAATTCGTCTTTTTTAGTGAGATCAATATCTGTTGGAAAGCGAGGAAACACTGTGCTTCACTTACAGGTTGGAACCTTCATGAAAAAGTAAGGGTAAATGCATTTTTGTTGCTTACAACCAATGAAATTTAGAAAACAAAAACAAGTTGTTGTCAGTTCACTCTTATAATAATAGGCAAAGAAGAAACCTGGATGGAGTCTTACCTGGTTTTCCCTTCTTTTAGGTAATAGATCAAACACTCAGACATTGATGGGTCTTCATTCAGGTTGACGAGATGAGGGGTCTGTGAAGGAAGGAACGTTATTGATGAATGACTGAAACTGAAGACGTTGAGTACGTCAGGTGACCAAAACAAGGCTAATTACACTTACGTCTTTTGGTGTGAATATCCCGGTGACTCCAATTTCATTGTGAATGGCGATCCCCATTTCCTTCAGTTCATGCTCACTAAAGTGAAGGAGTAAAGAACGTCAAGCATTTGTGTAGCAGGTATCTTAGTTTGTCTTGACTGTGTACTGAAAGCGGGATAAGTTTGGAGGTTGTGATGAGTCAATATTCTATATACAAACATGCTTAACACACCAAGGATTTTATCGGCTAGGGTACCCTTCAAGTGTCAATTAAGCTGGATCATACCAGAGACTGAGCGTAAAGAAATGGATTCGTAATTAGAAGTCATTTATGTGCACACTATTGGTCAGAGGAAATGTGAAAACCACTATTAAAGTGTCCAAAGAGTGAGTCCTCGGTCGTACTTTCCCACGACACTTGTGGTGCCAGTGCACAAGGTGTGTGAGGGAGCTTACGTGTATGGTTTATCACTTGATTATTCATCTTTTAAACAGTGAATCCAAGCGCGAAGGCCCGAATTTCAGGATTTTATAACACTGACTTACAAACTGCCTGTTGTTTGTTAGCTCATCACGACCCTGTCCTATCAGAATGCCAGTATTCCTTTGATTTTCATGTTGCATTCCTCCACAAGAACCATATTCTTTTCCGTAAATGTAAAATTAGCTCAGATGGACTTAGACATTCAGCTACCAGTCAAGTGGATTTCGCAAACAATAGACGGTATTGAGTCTCAAACTATCTGTAAACAATTGCCAGCTCAGGCGGTTACTGATATTGCATCTTGAAAAGGTTGTTCACAGATACTGGTCACTCGAGTGGAACGGAAGTTCCAGACAATCAATTTTCAGCCGGACACTATAATCGTCAGTTCGCATTTGTTACGCAATCAGGTGAGTTATTTTTATTGGGAACGCACGCAAACGTTACTATTTTTGTGAACAAGAGCAAGCTACTTTCTGTGCCTTTAAACCGCAAGTAGGGTGATTTTCTCGGGTTAAGATCACAGAATAAGTAACATTCAATGGGTTACAGGTGAATAGAAGTGGTCCCACTTTCAGCAAAATACTTCTTAATTAACCGGACGCAATATCAATATAACGTACACAACAAGAGAATAGTGATATGGTAAATTACCCCGCAGCCACCTAAAGCGGCGCATATGGACGCATGTTTGCGTCACTCAAAATACACCAGCAGACTCCGAGCTACTATAGTGGACGGCGCTTATAGAAACACTATGGTTTCGACGGAAGTGATTCCTGAAAGTACCAACCTGTGACAAAAGTCAGCTTAGTGTAAACTGCCCACACCGACGATATGATATAACTAGGATGCTTAGGATGTCAAATCACACATTAACTCGAGCTTTCGTATTATAATGAGGAAACGACTACACTTAGTTTTTAATGGCCAGAGGTCAGAATGAACCATATGTACTGCTGATAAGCTGCAATGAAGATGCAATTCACGTGTGATACCATTCCGCCAATATGCACTATGAGGAAAGTTGTCTGTTCATATAATTTTTCGGTTGATTCTATCGATGGGTACTTCTTATCTTTGAAGGCGTCTCAAACTAGAACATCCAGTAGATATCTCTAAAGCGTACTAGTCTGCTGCCATAAGTTTTTACCGCTCAGTGAGCACACTGCACACCATACATAGCTGCTTCTACTGAACCAGAAGCTAGCATATTTATTCAAGTAGTTCAATGAGTAGTGTGGTTATATAGCAGTCACTCACTAGATCACGCGACACAAACGCTCGCACCACGTGACAGTTTCTGAACCACTTGCAAACTTAGCCGACCACATGTACACTACCACTTCCCATCCATTTTCGTTTACGCGGCTGCTGACTGCATCACACACCAGGCTTAGGTACTTCAACCACATCAGGTAAAGTTGTATTTCTGTTCGTGGAAGCAGCAAACACGAAGGGACACCCCTCACTTCACACTGCACCCAATAAATGGGCATACAACTCGGCCCGACGCACACGCGCGGGCACAGGACAGGAAGTCGACCGAGCTCCAAAAGTATCCAAGCAAACTACGGAGCAGGTATGGCAGCTATACTGCAGAGAAGACACGTCTGGGACTTCATTCAGGAACCCTCAATAGTTGTCCTCAAACGATAAGTCGCCTCTTGGCTTACTCCACTTTTTGCATTGTATCTATATTTACTAAGGTGCACCTAACTACTGCATTATCATCATTCTGGTAAAACAGACATTTGTTAGTGCTTGTTACCTTCTGATAATCAACTTCATTATGTTACAACGAAAGCACTAACAGTTAAAGACAATAAACCACTCTGTCTCCTCTACCCTTGCTAGTCACTTTAGGTACGTTAGATGCTGCCTATTTCTGACGCTTGTTGAATCAGGATGCTCACAAATAAAATCGGTTTGTTGGTCACCCAGAGCCCTTGTAACTAGTCATTTGGCTTGGTGCCTTCACCATTTAAAGCATCAACTACTCACAAGTTCAGTGAACAAGATATGTTCATGCCAAAAATGCAACCACCGATGTATCCCAAAAAAATTAATGGTCTTCGCAGAAGACAATTTAGAGTGACTGAAAGACAGTTGCTCGTAAAGAAGAACAAAGGCAAACATTGATAAAGAGTAGAGCAGAGTTCCGGAAATCCAAATCCAAGAACATGTAATATGGAGAGCAGTCACCCTTGAAGTTGGAAGCAAACCACCAACCTGCTGTTTAGTTTATGATTTGGGTGTGGTCTAGAGGCCATGAATTTGATAGCATTTAACGTTCAAATCGATTTTTATCTCACAACGCAGTGCATCGGATCCATACCGTTGTTCTCTAAGTTGTTCGGCGCGTTGCAGTTTCTCCTCCATAGTTTCATTTAGCTCAGCGATCAGCTTCTCCGACGCTCGCAAGGCCTCCATAATTGCCTCATGTTCGGCGGTACAGACCGGAGCTGTTGGCACTAATTGGTTACTGTTTCGCTCTGTCAAGGCCATTTCTGTAAGAGAGAAGGAGACGAACAAAGACCAGCTGACAACGTGTATGAATAGCAAATACGGGTGGATTCGAAGATAACTATGGACATACATATGTGGCCTCCAGTTGGAAACCTGAGACTTTGGTCACCTGATTTATCAATACGGACAAGTTCGTTAGGGAACGAAATGGTGAACTACAGTCCCTTGGTCTTCGACCTGATTGAATATTGTCCGCTAAACGGTCCTAGACAATGTGCAATAATGATTTGTCCAAAAAGAGCGAAATTCTAGTCCAAGGCCACAGTGAATATAATCAAATATACTCACATTACTATGAAACAGTAAACCGCTCAGAAGAAGGATAATTTCACTGAATTATGCAACTTCCTTCTGAAAATTCGTCATTCGAGTAGCCAGTCAATATATGATTACGTGGTGTCGCTTTCCGTTACTGAAGGATATGTGGTGCCATGTTGTGTCTCAGTGAGAGCTATTCATACTGCAGATCAGCCGCTCTTGGCCAAACGGTTAGGTTTCCAACCACTGGCCGGCCGATCGCGGGTTCAAAACTCTCTGAGTTTCGTCAGGTGCGCATTGCTGGTGATCCCCAACAAGGATGAAACATCTGTACGGCTTTCCAGAGTACAATGGCTTCACTGACAGTATGAAGTCTTCACTAAATATGACCGAATCCCTCCACATTAACATGAGGTATCTGAATTCCTATTTAACTCAACCCATCGGTCACTGTGACTATCCCTCCCTGGAATAAAATTATTCAGACACCCTGGTAACAAAGACTTGTGGATTGACGGGTTGGTAACTGTACGATCAGCCTTTCTGAGGTTGTCCATGTGGCGGATATGTAACGCTGACGTATTCGTGGGTGGAAACCGAGCCCAGGAAGTGACGCCAATATTTGGTGCCGTGTAAGCGCTGACCATCATTTCCGATGACGCAGACAGTTAGTACGAACTGCTGAGGACCCTGCATAGCGTGGTTCTGAATGCATTTTCAGGCTTGCGTGAACTTGTTTAACCTGGTCAAATAGAATATTATGGCTCCTCATCGTCGCATGCATAACCGCCATTTTTAAATTTTGCGAAACTCGGGGAGGGGTAGGCGGGCGGCGGAAAACATGCATATCTTTCATATTCCTCATCTCGCACGGTCAGTCGCCTAATCATCTCTCCTGAGAAGATAGCAATGGAAGCTAATCGAATGTTCCACAGATCAAAATCTTGTCGTCCTCAGTCGTACCGAATGCGGTGTGAATGTTCTAAAAATTCCTTCAATATACTCGATAGACTACCTACATTACTTGAGCCAGAGTGTTTTGTCATGGAATGTACTATTTATCAGTCATGGAATATGTAGCTGACTCCATTGGACTCACGTAGAAGCTTCTGTAGAAAATTCGAACCTAGAAGTAACCATATTCCAGCACGCACTGTGGGCTACACTTTGCATTACAAGTTGATCATGACCACCCTCAGAATCACCAAAGACATTAACCCTTGGGCTCATGAGACTAGTCAGCCAAAGGATTAGCGGTAGAAGACAGAAGTTTAGTTCCTTGCGGGTCCAATCTTTAAATTTTGCGGAGGCTTTAACCAACATAAATCCAATGGGCATCTTACGGGCAACAAGAATCAGTTTCCAGTACTATTGAGTAATGGTGATTGGTAGGTTATCACAACTAATACTTTAGTTCTCCGTTCAAGGTATAACCACTGATTTGTGGTCTCCTCAACTACTCAGGCTATAAACTCTGCGATCATTTATGTACACATGTGCATCTCGGCGAAGATGCTCAGGCCAACATGCATATTCTCCAATTAACCAGTGGTTATCTCGTATTCCATTACCATGGTTTGCTCTTCAATGATGCAATCAGGATGATTTATCTCAACTTGACCTAAAATGGAGACGAAAAGGGACGAGTTGCGCCGCATAACGACCTGGGATTTATTCATCATTCATATTGGTAAACGTACAAACTATTGAACTTGTTGTAGATAGTATTACACTAAGTGACCTTTTACGTTTTACGAAAAATATTTTTTCACTCGCATACTAACTTGCTTTTCAATAGTACAACCAACTGACTCCCAACTGAACCTCAGTCCATAACATACTTCAGCTGAATGTACTGTGCAAAGTATTAATTCGTTGTCAGAGGAAAGGTCGAACGCACTTACGCTCTTTCTAGACTATGGAGCTGTTTAATTGTAGCCAGAATGTATCATATCTGTTCTGAACTACTCCTTTCGTATTCAGATGAGGGCTTCGGATCACTCCAAATTGTTGATCACAGAACTAAAACACACGTTATCTGTCAGTGAAACTAGCTTTATCAAACTTTACAGACTAATCTTATGTTTACAAAAATTCTTAGACGATCCCGAGGAAGTGAAATCGGTATTGAACACTTTACGTCTATCGCCTCGACGCCATTCCTCACTCCCTCCAACATATAATTTGCGTGTTATATGTTTCATGGCTGAGGAGGGTAAAACGAATGTTGGAATCCCCGATTTGCTTAATCTGATCAGGCTTTTTTGATGATCTGAATGTGCTTACCATTTAGTAAGTTCGTTTGCAAAAGTTACAGGGCTTTGTCCGTATTACATTACTGATTCCAGCATATTTGATGATATTATGACTGAAATGCGGGTGCTAAGGATGAGGCCAAATGATGTATTGAATCATTCATCGACAGAACGCTCGGTGATGTGAGTTAAAAGTCATATACAGTATATCGCCTGCGATTCTTCTCACCTGATTCAATATCTATGCCCTCCATAATGAGTATATGCTGTAAACGAGCAACTTCTGCTTTCAACTCTCGAATCAGTTTTGCATTTGGATCCTCATTTACCACGGCCTTGCATACAATGTGTTTGGCGCGGTCCGCATACCGTAAAGTTGACAGTGTTTCTTCATAGTTTATATCAGCCGGTGAAATGGTTGCAATCATCGTTGTGTGGGAATTTCCACCTAAAAGAGCGGTAAAAGATGACCAACTAAATGAGTGGTATCTGTGTGTGGCTATGCATGCAACCATAAATAGATTTTCCGTTTTTAGCTGTTGATCAGGTGGCCGTTGATCTGTTCGCCGAGCTCGGCAATTTGCTTGCGAACGTTTCGTCACCAAGGAAAGAGGCATCACCACTGCGCACTGATGATGTCTCCTCGCTTGGTGGCGAAACGTTTGTAAGCCAATTGTCAAGCTCGGCGAACAGATCAGCAGCCACCTGATTAACAACCAATAAACTCACTTGAGCTACCAATATTTCAACGCGTTACCAACATTTCCTGTTTTGCATTTTTCGAGCAATGCTAAGGGCACAAAGTGCAAAATAGCAAGAGATTTTAAAAGTTTCGATGCAATTCAACGTTCGGTAGCCATGATAGTGCTAGTGATAGTGATGGTGATAGTATAAGGGTTTGTTCCGTTCCTTATAGAAAGCTTTATGTACAGTCGGTAATTAATCACGTATGGACGTAATCAATTTTTTTCATACGGACAGGGAAAAACCATATTTGAACAAATTTGGGTACAGCAATATAGCCGGCACCATATATGGCACCAGACAGCCTCAACAAAAAAAAACAGAGTACAACTGGGACTGACTCTGAATGAAAATCTCACCAAAACTGCTTCACGCATCCACACAAAAGTGCACAATGTTTCTTTGTTCATAATTTGAATTTTACCCACAAAACCGCATGTGCTTAAACGTCACCGTTGAGATAGGAGTTCTACAATCAGCTGCAGTCTGATGTTCCGTCCATTGATTAATTCGTCGCTGGAGCTCACACAAACCACAGTCTAGTGTTCAAATAATCCTGTTCGAAGTAACCAATGATCGGTTATCACCAAGTTGGTTTTCAATGGTTACCGACGGAACTGAAATTTGTTGCTATGTTGTGACCGATGTCTACGTAAAAAGACAGTTGTGGTCCTCATCGTGGTCAAGAGCAACGTCCCATCTAAAACAGCTTTCACTGGAAAGAATGAAAATCTGTTTCGTCAAGACAGTTTCTGACTAGAGAACCGATGAGTTTACCTTCATTCTTTTTGCCACCCAGTGTTGAAGATAGTTGTCGAGTTGAGACCACCCAAAATGAATGAAGTTGTTTTTACCAGAATAATACATATAACAAGGGGTCGTCAATCTCCCACAATTTGATGAGGCCTAAGAGTGATCAGGTCCGAGCGGAGAACGAAAATCACAAACAAACAGAAGAAGCCATAATCTTGTGAAGTAAACACTACTTTATTGATGAACTATCAGGGCTTTTGTCCCACTACCAACCAAATGCTTCTTTATTCTAGTGAACTGATGAATTAAGATTCTGCTGTAGACACGAACGTATCAAACAACACACCACGCAACCTATGCGTTATGACCCAAGCTGCAGAATTGGAAACTTTAAAATGTATGTAAAAGAGATATAGAAAATCGGTTTCTGTAAGTATCCTGTGGCCGGTCACGCTCGCTCTAAACTGTGATTCTCTGCCACTACACCACAACACGTCAGTTCCCCCGGCTGACACAAATAACAAATGGTAAGTACAATAAAACGCATTCGGTATCCCTAATTTACTGGTACTGGTAATACAATCCAAGAAGATGAACCTTAGTGAGAACATAATAGTCCAACAAATTTTAAAGCCAATGTCAGTTGGTTGGAGGATTGTGCTAGATTTCAATTCATCAGTAAGAGTGAAAGCGATACACGAACGACAACTTTCTCTGCATCTACGCCAGCAGCACATTCTTTGGACTGTCATTCGAAAAAAAACTGTCTAATAAACCAAATGATACCAGAATTAAGTGAAAAAACATTATAGGTGATCCAGTAGGACCACTGAGATCATTGCACATGGTTTGCACCTGAAAGTTATCAAAATAATGAAAGCAATATCCGGCTCTATGGGTGGTTGACAGCAAGTATAACAGCTGCTCCCACTCATCAATCTTGCGAGCGACAGCAGCAATAAAATAGAATATGCTTTACAGCCTACTATCTACTAGTATCCTTTTGATCCACCACGGTAACAAGAAACTTGACTTCCTTCTCTAAATATCCTATGAACACACCATCTACTGCAGAATCGTGTAACAGCGTTGGCTGCACTTAGACGGATTCAATTACGCCGAATGTAACAAACGAGATCGAGAGATAATACACTATTCGTATGGTTGCGGAAAACCCTTCGACCTTAATCGCAACCATCAGACATCAAACGGATGGCAGAACGAACAAAAATGACGTAGTAACCGAGTTAACAGATTAAGAGTGTAGCAGGATCAACTTAAGCTGCGGAACACAGTTGAAGTAACTGTCAGGCTGAACGCATTCACCACACAGCATGTGCCTGAGTACGTGACAGTAGATGAATGTCATCCACCCAGTCGTCTGCCGTTTGTCATATCTGTTTCTCTCCGCATTTGACAGTCTCTAATGACATCAACAAACATAACCAACTGGACGTTGTCACAGCTTTTGTAAGATTTGTGGTAGGTGGACTAAGTGGGGTGTTTGAACCTTAGGCATGTGCTTCATCTAAACCTTCAGAAAAAACAAAACTAATTTTAGGTGTACCCCAAACACAGTAGTTATATTTTAACAACATACTGCCTTTCTCTGTGTAAAATTCAGCCTGAAATACCGAAACAAAAGTCTTGTTCACGTGCCCCTCACCCATAAATTGAAAATCTGGTGGTTAGTGGATTTTAGGGAATAAACAACTGATTATTTGACTGAATCTGGGACCATATGAATCGTCTTTGTAGCTGGGGACATTCACGACCCTCCTAACCCTTGAAACTCTATGCTGAAGGTGAATTCTCCTACCCCAACCCAACCTCGAACTGATATCCATCGCTGCAAATAATGGGTACCTATGATACGTTCGTTGCAGAACGCAACGTTGCGTGAGATGTAGAATTCACGTCCACATCACTCACATATAAGCAGCCACTCTCTTATCCTCGTATAATTATTCAGATGAGTCCAAGCCAAAAAGAAGGAGAATTGAACTCGAGGTCTACTCGTATTAGAGCTCATCAGCATGCATATCCTTAGCCCTGTCGGGGGTTGAAACTGAACATTTGACATGAGGTGGGTGTGTTATAACTATTCCACCACCGCATGCTGCAGACATCCAAGTTTTCACGGCCGAACAAGCAACCGTATTTATACTTGGGCAATATTGTTGGTTTGCCCCACGGCTCGAACGACGATTCAGTAGCTGTTCTGGTTCCGTTGATGAAAAGACCCGCCCGTCGGGAATTACTAGTCAGGTCGTGGGACGGATGCTTGAAATCAGCTGTAGATGGCTGTGGAAATCATGGAATGTACAAATTTTCACAAAGTATCTCGACAGACCCAAGATCCCAACCAGTCTTCGGGTGTCGAAGGGACTACGCTACGCTTGCTTACTGGTGGTGACAAGGGAGAATACACACATGCATGTCGTAGACAAAGCAACGCCATTGGTGACACTCAAGCGTGATGACCATCAATGGAACATATAGATAAGCACTATGTTTATACTCAGCAGAGAAGTGACGAGGTACTGCGCAATTCGAATGAAAAGGTGATACGTTGACCAGTATCGTCATTTTGATTTTGCAACCAGTAATGGTTATCCAAAAATCTGTCCCTTTAATCTACTGAAGATAAGATGTGAAATTTCGCAGATATACGCAGGGAGTCACACCATCAATAAGTGAGAACAGCCACAAGATTCGTCTCACCGTTCTACAGTAATCTTGTATATAACAAGAACAACGTAAGACAGTTCCAAGTGCAGTGAAAAATCGTCTTATCCACTAGGGGACAAATCAACACAGACCGCAGCATAGCTAAACTAAATCCCGTGATCCAACTAATGCAGTCCCACACTGGTGGACTCCAAGTGCTTTTATATGTAAGGCGATGACCAAGTCAATGGCATGTGCTACAAGTGCCATCCCCCATACATAGGGCGTGATCACCATCTCATGTACTCTAAAAACCAGTCAACACCTTATTGATTAAAAAGGATGTGAGTCTGACCTGAACAAAGGGATACGTGTATGACACTGATATCAAAAGTAAATGGTGTCTAAACCTGCCTAGGTTTTCCCGAAGAAGCCATGTTAACACGGAATCTCGATAAGGAATGAAGTCCGGCTTTTTCTTCTTCTTGGAGCTCTAAAAATTAAAAAAAACGTCAAAATATAATGTATATATACCCCGTGAATAAACCAGCAGTCTTGATGTAACAAAATGTGCTGAGTGCTGCCTCTTCCGCAACTAACTACATATACCCCTGGAATATGTGTGTGGTAAAAAGTGGTTGAATATACAATCTGCCATTTAAAATGGTCCTGAAAAAATTCGCCCGAACTTCAACTGCTCGACGGCACACCTCTATGTTACATCTGAAACAGGTTATTCAAACGGTTTACGCAGTACAATTACAAATCATCGTATACCTATAAGTACTTCATTTTCACATTCAAAATCAACAGCAGACTTATCCAAATATTTCTTGTTTTAATCCAGAGTAGACTTTTACCCAAGAATTGGAAATCGAATATGCAAAAGTAAATCTTCAAGCTGGTTACGTTACTCTCTGTTCCACTGTACCTCCTTTCTCCCGGTCAAACCGTTCCCTGGCTTGAACCCACTGTTTTCCTGTATTCCAAGTATTCCATATTCACCCACAATTCCTCAGAATTAACATGTCGAATTAATTCTCACGAACTTTCCCCTCACTTTTATGACCACTTGCGTTACCGCGTGCTGTGCGCGCACGTTTGTCGGTAATTCTTTGGCCTTACACTAACTCGTGCAACATCTAGACGGAACTCCTCATGATTTGAGGTTTGTGTCCTTTTTATTTGCATATTTTGTACTTGTGTTAACGCATTTTGTTGATAAATCTCACGGGTTCGAAATTCTTGGCTTGTGATTTTGCGCGTCACTCCGCTGGACTTCCCGGATTGCATTACGTGCTCTAAGTGCACCTTAGATGCTCATTCCAATTCGCGCGGTTCCGCAATTCCCACATGACCTGTCTGTGTATCGCATCAATATCCAAAAACTCCCAACAAGGAAAACGAGGACCCTGTATAAAAAATCACCGTAAGAAGACTGGCAAAAGGTAATGGTATGGAGTAGAGCAATAGTCGCTCAAATTGGAATGAGAGTGCCGAAATTCTCCTCCACTTTAGCAATTCACTGGTAGCAAAATCAAATTGACACTAGTGTTCAAAACTAATTTCCCATTAATATGACGTTGAATGATGAAACTGACCTAACTCAACTGCACACACCTTCTGTCAGAAAATTTACTGAAAACAAGCAGAACTCTAATTAATTTGTTTACATGTGCTGAAAACAGAAAATCATAGGGATGATTCTGCAACTACCGACTTACCAATTCTGCTAACCCTGCAATCACTTTACCCAAAGTCGTCAGAGATTTGTTGATATTAGCCCCTTCTTTTAGCCGTATATCTGTGGCCCCGGTTGCATCTGCTCGTTCGCTCCCGGCCAGGTCAACCAGGCTAATTTTGCTTACCTGAAAAAAAGAGTGGTTGCTAGGACATTCTTTACACTTTACTGAGCATATACAAAAAGTGTTCCATCATATTTTTCTTGCTAACAGATAATTTGTGCACATGAATTTTTGTGGGTTTGGAAGCTTACATATCCGTCGTACTTGTTTTACCCCATAAAAGGATATAATCACTTCAAACAGAAAGCATATGGTCACTGCCATCTCCTGCCGCTAGCTGCTTTGAAACGAGTTGTCTCTTTGGACCACCAAATAAACAGACAGGGTGGTCGCTCATGTCTTCGACAGAAACTTGATGATACAGTTCCCAGCGTTCATACTGGACACCAAATATTTTGTTACTGCTGCGCAATCAGCAATTATAACCCATCTGTAAGTTGATTAATCTGGTACATATTTGCTTGCTTGCGCATATGATCAAGATTATACGGGGAACTATGATAGACGGGGTATATTTAGGCGTCTCTGCTCCTTTCTCTAGGTACCCAAACGGAGAAATACATGTTGAAGAGATTTCATAGAAATATAATTCGCAAACATGTGGTAAGGTATCTCCGTCTTTCTTCAAGCAATAAAATCGGGTTATTCCAAAGCCCAGACACCATTAAGTAGCCATTAGACAGACCTTTATGGTTTTCTAGAATTACTTGAGGAAAAATAAGAAAGTAGTACAGCTTGGCATCTAAGTGCAGCGGTGTACTGTCGGTCAAAAGGCTAACGGCAGCTGAAATCTGTTTGCTATCCAGTTGATATGTCAGTATATTGTGCAGTCAATGACAATCAAAATAATCGAGTCTGAATCCCATCATTCGGTAAAAAAATGAAAGATTCTTATGAGAGAATGACAGCCTCACTTTTTCTGTCGTTAAACCCGAATCGATGTCCTTCAACTTCTGTGTGACAACCATTGTGAAAACGGCATGTGAACGACTGCTTGTTTCATTCATGTTCGTAGCAGCAACTGTCCTGTGTTAAAAAGCATCCAAAAGCATATAAATGATAAATCCCAAGAAGGGCAAAACAGGTAGTGAGCTAACAAAGTTTTGCTAACATCTACGTAGGTGGTGTAGTGCACTTTAGAGAAGTATCCTTCGAAATCTCGAATATTTCACAGATGGAAACATTACACAGCCTCTGTGCAACACGTTCAGCTGAAGAACGCCATAAACAAACGATTTAGCTTGGACTTATTTTACCCCTTCGTTAACACCAACTTAATTTGCAAATTGATTTACTTCCCCAAATTGAGTTTAGTCTTGTCAGCAGGTATTTGAGGAACAATGGATATTTTTTGGACAATGTAAGAAAATCACAAACTCATTCTTATATGGTGTAAACCTGATAAATGAAGTTATTTTAGTTTAGATCTATGTCTTCATGGCGCTTCCAACTACAGCCTCTCCGTCATAAGTTTTCAGTTGCATATGTTCTAACACACAACTAACTTTATCACACCTAAAGAAAATCCGCGTATCAAATTCAAATTCAGTATAAAACTCAACTACCAGATTGGAAACATAGAAACAGGCTTTTTTCGAGCTTAATGCTAGGAAAGGACTTTGTGTCGATGATACCTGTTTATCGACGGAACAATACCTCAACAATATAGCACACCCACAACGATGTAACAGGGTCCAGTTGTCAAGAGGATAAAAACTCTTTTTACTTCCTTGGCGTGCAGTTGGTTGCGTGGTCAAAAGATTTAATAATAAAAGCTCGGTGTACGAAAGCTAAAATTGACAGAAACATACGCAAACGTCCACAGATTTGTGTCCATAAAACGGGTGTTTTTCGGCAACGACAACAAAAACAGTATGTTCAGATGACACCATGGAAAGTAAGCGCAGGTTCCACAGGAGTGTGCTAAATGAAAACGACTGCCTGGCGAGTTTGGTAGAGAACAATATAACAAGCAGACCAAAAACTCCAATTAGACCAATTATTGATAATACTATTCCAAAGCTGATTTCACGGGCCAATAGGCTTACCGTGTCTTGGAATATTTGGTGTAGTGAATAATTTCAGCTGTCACTCTTTGAAGTCAGTTTTATTCCAAAGCCTTGGTCAAACAAAACTTTATTATACCTTAACACCAGTCTACACTTATGCACCTTTTCATCTTACGAAATGCGGCAGGATTTGTCTAGTGAAAGACCAGTCCGTTAGCAAAACTGGTTTTGTAGCACCAACGAACTTAGCTTAAACGGAGGATTCAGCTGGGTTCTAGGTGAGTCTCCCGCAAAACCAAATTTACTTGCAGATGAGTTTAATTCGTTAACTTCGTACAATTTGGGCTCAGGTAGAACAAGAATGACGAAAACTTGTGGATTGCATCTACCTGATGAGTTTCTAGAAGGGCGAAACCGGTTAGAGTAAATCTTGCTAGATACTCTAAGGTTGATTTTGCTTGAAGCTGACAGCTCATATCAGGCGTTTTTTCAGATTATAATCTCATACATTTACTGGTTACCCCTTTCTATATTTATAGTGAAACGATTTGCCACACTGGTAGCAAGTGAGTACACTGTTTGTACTCCAACTTCACCTCAGTGGATTAGTTGGCTATCCGCTATCTTTTGTAACAGATTAGAAATCATTCTACAGTTACTCTTTCAGAAGAGATTGGCACCCATCCGAAATTCGAGTTTCGAAAATGTCATCTTAGTCCCCAAGTGAATTCACGCGTTTGGATCCCTTTGGATCCCTTTCTTAAATATAATATATAATATACATGATATATAATAATTCTGATTTCACACTACTCCCCATTTTCGCCACATGTGAACCTTGGAAATGGGTGTAATATTTTTTTAATGTGACAGAATTATCCCCTCGGCAGAAGGGAGAATTCACACATGTGTAAACCTTGGCTGTCCAATAGAGTGAGCATTCAGAGTTGATCTTTTGATGTTAAGAATCTTCCACCAAATTCACAGCACGTCGGGCTGTTGCGTTTACTTCTGTAGATTAGTAAAACATGGACATTATACAGACGCCTTTTCAGATTACCTGACCCATTTTACTTTGTCCATGGTCGGTTGAAGAAGAATCGGAGATGTCCAAAACACCACCACCAAGGCAGTCTGCAACTGAGCCTAAAAACGGTAACTTTTACTCCTGACCACAAAAAAGCTTAGCACCCGAGAGAGTGACCTGGAGTACGGCTATCAACGCAAGACTGAAGAGATTTGAAATACAATGCTTCTCAGTGTCGCCAAACAAACGGGTCGTTCGAAATAGTTGCCGTTTTCGCAGCGCAAACTCGATTATGCGAAACTGCACACCATGCCTCAGTGAGATCAGGCCCATAAACCACAATGTACTGACTGGGTTACTTGCTACGCACAAACAACACGAATTAAGGTAAGTTTCTTATCAGTATCCACCTGACATACGTTCCTCATAAGGACTTTGGCACAATTAGTCAGATGTTTAGTGGTGTACTGCCGGGCTATCCATCACAATAGTGACGATGCTCCAATGGGCGGTTTCCGGGAACATGGTTACAGCATAATTATATTACGATGAAACCTGATAAAGTGGAAGGATACCACCGACGCCTCGCTCTTCAACAAGTACCTGTTTCCTGTGCTCAGTATTACGCCACTGTTTTTAAACCTACTGGTTGCTCTAAAAAGATCTCCACATGTTTGCCTGCCGAATTTATTTTCTTGCATCTACAGTGAAGTCACAAAACTACATGCAGCACTGCCATTGGTTCCACGCAGATTTCTGCGGCTGTCTAAATTTGGACAGGCATTTAGTGACCGGATCACTGTTTTTGACAAGAGTCATATATA